TAGATAGATACACATAGATAGATAGACAGATAGATAGATGCACATAGATAGATAGACAGATAGATAGATACACATAGATAGATAGACAGATAGATAGATGCACATAGATAGATAGACAGATAGATAGATACACATAGATAGATAGACAGACAGACAAAGAGTAAAGTTAAATAATCGGTTAGTCGTGTGACTGGGAATCGGCACGACACTCAATATTAATATCTTGATAAAACGTGTAGATAGAAGAAAGAATCGTACGAGATACGGAATTAACATGAAACTAACGATAAATTCGGAAATGAGACATTTCATGTGTGGTCGGTTTTATCGAATGTGAAACATCGTTACAAGGATACAGCAAAGAGCATCGAGACATTTCGGATTACGATAATATGATAGATAAGGAAATCTCTAATTTGGTGATTTCGATGCTCACTTTAACGAGCAGGCCATGCGGCCGATGCACGTCCAATTCCAACACGAATCGTCCGTTTCAAAATCCTTCGTCACAAAATACCTGGCATTCCTGACTTTCGAAATCGATTATGTATGTACGTTTTGAGCCTCCGCCATTAATTAGTTTTTCCTGGAAAACCTTCCCGACCCATCAACGTCAAACGAGTTCCCTGTAACGCGCGCCGCGTGAGAAAATTCTATGGAATCACGATGAAACGCGGTGAAAACAATAACGAAAAAATAACCGTAATATTGCTACCGCGTTATCAAAGCGAATTGTTAGACGTAAGTTAATTCAATCGTGACACGCTCGGATAAGAATGACGGTCGAAAAAGAAGACGAGGAAAAAGGAATGAAAGGAGAAAGAATGGAATGCATGTCGCTCGTTATTACCGGAGATATTTAATTATCATTGTACTCTCAAGCATTTAATTTCATTATTGCCAATTGTGTTTATTCGTATCCCCGAGGAAGGTCGAATGAATCGATATTATAAATCGCGCACCTAACCCGACAATTAAATCCACATGTTACATTCAATCGGTTCAATTTCTGCGAAAAGAGCGTGACGTTAGTGTTCTTTCATTTCATTCTGATTTAATCATTGCACAATGTCCTTTCGCACTCATTAAACCGTTTCTTTCATATTCTCTTTTATTAATGGCGGTGGCCCGTTCACTCGGCGGCGTATCGGCATTTGAACAATGCAGTAACACGAATTCCTTTCTCGTGTTTGTAATTACGTATCTACTTTCAGATGGAACTGTACTCAACGCTGTTAAATCTCATCTGTATTATCACCGTGTCGTATACGGTTTCGGGACACCCCTTTTCGTTCCTGCCACGGCATGCGGTTGAACGAGCTGCTGAACGTAGGAGCATAGGAAGACAAATGGTCGAGCACAGATCTAATTTTCTAACTCCATTAGCAGAATATGGAGCACGATCTACCGAACCAAAGGTAACATATTAATTAATCGATGTCTCTAATTCCTTCTGAACTCGAAGGATCATCAGAAATAAACAGATCTTCGGTGAAGAACACCCGTTCTCTGACACGTATGGAAACTTCAGTAATCCTAGAATATATAAATCCTCTTATGACATTAATTAAGGATAAAACTTACATATTATAATAATCAATCGTGGCGTAAATACACGGGTGTTCGAGAAACTTTCTTGCGATGAAACCGAATAAAGGCTAATAAAATCGAATGAAACTCAAGTTTTATTGTAATTTTCAGCCTGTGGAACCATGGACTAAAATTACTCAGAACCCTGTGAACGCCTTAGAAACAACGGTCGGGTAAGTAGTCACATGTTAATATGAGAAAGTAAGATAGTGGTAAATAGTAATGTCGAACTGTTTGTTCTTTTTATTTGTTATAGGAGTAGGGTAGAATTAGAATGCAAGGCTAGCGGTAGTCCACCACCGGAAATTCTTTGGTTCACGGGAAGTGGCACTAACGAACAGGTGAATGTTGCTATCAGACGTTGCTTGCGTCAATTGTGATAAACTTATGCAGTCAGTTTCTGCGAGAAATATATTAGTTATTAATGTACGATTTATTGTTAGCTTGTCGAATACGTCAAAGCCAACACACATACTTTGTATGATCCATCTGAAGAATGGCAAGGAGTAGCCAGAATTAATTCGAAGCTCGTGATAGAGTGCATTACACCGGATGATGCTGGATTGATCTACTGCGCGTCGGTTTCTGCAAGAGAAGTGAAGGTATCCACTCCTACAGTGCTGCTGGTTAACAGTAAGTAGAATACAATTAACAATTAACAATTAACTCTAATCATTATTAATCAATCCGTACCATTAAATATTTCGTAGCAACCGCCTTTCAGAACGTACACGTTCGGCATGTCTTTTACCGCGATTGATTTTTAACATCTAGTTTCACAATAAAAGAATTAAATTGAAAAAATGTAACATCGCGTTTTTTAGTTTTATTATGCAAAATATTAGACTTATTTTATGCTACTTTAGTATGTCCATTGATAGAAAGGGAAGTTAATTTGAAAATTTCGTTTCTCATAGACGAAGAAGGTACCAGCAACAACTGTACATTCGAAAGTGAACCAACAATTACATTATACTCTCCTACGCGAGTAGCTAACATAGGAGCAACCGTAGTACTGCCGTGCAGGGCGAGTGGCAAACCAAAACCAGAAATTTCATGGATGGATAATTTAAACGTACCGCTAAGTCTGTCGATGTCAATGCGGCACAGAGTTTTGGATAGCGGTGATCTTCTAATAGAGGAACTTCTATGGGAGGACATGGGTGGTTACACTTGTCAAGCAAAGTCTGGTCATCGTCAGCAAGTTGTTAGCACGTTCCTCTATCCGTTACGCGTAAGTTTCTAAATATTAGTTGAATATTTATGTTATTACGAATAATTTTATGAACTATTAATACACATATAATTAAAGATAAACAGTTTATTCGAAGTATCTTGTTACAGTAAAATTATCTGAAGTTAGAAATGAAATGTTGTGTAATGACGAATTTGTTGAGCATAATCGAATGCTTCTTTTATAGCCCGAAACAAAAGTGGACCAGACGGTTAATTGAAGAGTCAGCAAAGGATAAGTCTCGATTGCTTTGATCAGTCACCTTTTCATAATACGACGTGCGAGACAAACGGGATAGTATAGAATCTCCATGTGTCAAGTTTCAGTGTTCGTTCAAATCAAATGGTATTGTTTTAATATATAAGCGCTGTATTATAATTCTACGTAATAGAATTATATTTTAGTACTGAAAACTCGACGATTTGTTCGGGAATTAGCAACGTTTTGTTTCGTTATTACTAATAGAATGTAATCACAATTTTACTTAAAATTTTATGAACGATTTTAGCGTGCCAAGGACTTTTTATATTCGATTATGTCACCGATTTTAGCCGAAATAGCTATCGAACTATTTTAATATTTAAGTGTAATGTAGTTTTTTGTAATACTTCTTGAACGAAGTTGCGGGTAGTTCTAACGAATTATTTATTTATTAAACCAGGGGTGTTGAACTGGGAGCTCGCAAGCTCCATAGTGACTTTCCCCTCACGGAGAGTTACCCTCTCCATACCTATCTACTTACTTTTACCTGCCTCTGATTGAACATTAAGTATTTACATAGAGCTGCTGCTCTCACACAACAGTCTCGGGCAGTTCCTAGAGTAGAGGTAGTGGGGGAACGCTGATCAAGAGTCACTAGTATAAGGGGAGGCAGTTCGACACCTCTGTCTTAAGTACTGTATTAAGTATCGTAAACTATTTTTTTTTTGTTTATCATAATCTAGTATCTATTGTGAAACGCTATATTTTTATGTAAAAATAAATGTATTTCTTTTCATACAGAAAGTGTTTATAAATTTGTGATTTATTTATACCTTTCTATTCAATTTATTTATTTGTAAAATTGTTATGTTGTTATAAAAAAGCAATAATATTATGTTAATATTATTATAAGAAACGTCACGGCTCTTACTTAATGCAACTCAACCACAACTGACCTTGAAAGTTAGATCATTGGGTTACTCGATAACGCCTTATCATCGTTGACAAGACCACGTGCTCTTAATATTTACACGATAAAAATGGAAAAGAAGGTAGTTGCAAAAATTGGACCTTCGATTTTGAATGCTGATTTGGCTCAACTTTCAGAAGAATCTCAACGTTTAATTAATAACGGTGCTGATTATTTACATTTAGATGTTATGGATGGACATTTTGTACCTAACCTTACTTTTGGTCATCCGTTGGTAAAATGTCTTCGCAGTAAAATAAAAGATGCTTTTTTTGAAACTCATATGATGGTTTCTAATCCAGAACAGGTATACTTGAATTTTTGTCTACACTTAACATTTTTATTTTATATCTATTAAATGTAAATTTTATGACTATTAATTAAAGATACTGCAATTTTAGTTATATTTCAGTTAAAAGCTCATAAAAACAAAGCATACTTTTTTACATTTTAGTGGATAGAACCTATGGCTGATGCCGGTGTCGACCAATACACATTTCACGTTGAGCCTGTGAAAAACGTTTCATTACTTTGTAGAAAAGTCAGAGAAGCAGGAATGAAGGTATATTATTTATGTATTAATTAATCTAAAAATCCATAATAATTTTTTTATCATTATCCACTAAATTTTGAACTGCTATTGCATTCTACCATAAAAATTTTAACTTGAGTTTTTTTTTAAATAAAAGGTTGGAGTAGCACTTAAACCTGGAACACCAGTAGATGTTGTTGTAGATTATGTTGATCTAGCAGACATGGTGTTAGTCATGACTGTAGAACCAGGTTTTGGTGGGCAAAAATTCATGGAATCAATGATGGAAAAAGTAACATGGCTAAGAAAAAAATATCCTACTTTAGATATAGAAGTAGATGGAGGTGTAGGCCCTGCTACTATTGATGCATGTGCAAAAGTATGTTAACTAAATTATATATGATGTCAATATAAAAACTAAATGTAAACATTTTTTTTAGGCTGGAGCAAATATGATTGTCTCAGGAACAGCAGTCATAGGTTCTTCTGACCAAGCAAAAGTTATAAAAATTTTAAGGGACACAGTAAATTGTGCATTACAAAATAGTTGAATATTGACAGAAAAATAATTTTGAAAATATGTAAAATAGATATCAGAAATTTTTTAAACTTGTAATAAATTTGTACAGTATATTTACAAAAAGAACCAAATAAATGAACAAAATTTTCTAATTTTTATAGGACTATTTATATTTATTAGTATTATACTCACAAACATTGAAATTAATTACTTACAAAATTGTTAAACTGGGGAACGGATAATGGAGAAGCTTTAGGAAATAATTTCATTCTTAACTCTGCTAGGCTAATTAAAATAGCTTCTTCTGTTCTTATAGTCCTTGATCCTTGCTGAGGGCAGGTATTCAAATATTTATGAAATACCAAAGATGGATCATCAACATTCAAATTAGGATCAACATCCACTGCAGCTTCCAATCCACATAAACCTCCAAAAATTATTAACACATGATGGTATTCCAAACTGTGGAGTTTTATATCATCAATAGATGTTCCTTTATCTGAAGTTCCAATTGTCAAATCATATCCATTTTTATAAGGACATTGTGTTAATGCTTCTGTAAGATTATTAGCTAATCTTACTGTATATCCCCAATATATGCCAATATCTGATTTAGGAATGTCAGGAGGTACAATAAATCCTTTTAATTTTTTTGGATTTGGTTGATCTTCAGGTATTTTTACGGTAACTCTTAATCCAGGAGTTAATACCTTGTCTACATGAATGTCATTTAATAATCCTACATTAACATGAGAGCCTTTGCCAATTTTAATTGGTTTATTTGTAACTACTCCTTCTCGATATAAAGATACATCTTTCTGACGCAAATGATGCGGAGCATCTAAAGGATTTAATACTCCAGCATATTGTAAGTCTTTATGAATTGGAAAGAAATACTTTCTTAAGTATTGTGGACATTCAAGATATTGTAGTATTCTAGCCAACTGTAAACATGCAATTCTTCTTTCACCTAGAGCTTCGTCCTTTCTCAGTTTCTTCTTTTCATTTTCAGTTACTTCTCCTATGTCGTCAAACACAACAATTTCATCTATTTTATAAACACATGCCGCACGTGCTATCTGCCCAGCCAAATACGTTCGAAGTTCTGGGGATTGGGCATTATCCAAAATTGATCCAGGAACGGCAATACTGATAGTTGAAATATCTTTTTTCGTAAAATGTTCCTCAATAAGTTTTATTTTTCCATTGCTTAAGTTTTGTTTATTTTCTTCTTTCTTCAATTTTTTTGCTAACCTCTCTGCCCGCCATTTTTTTCGTTGTTCTTTATAAATACGATTAGTTTCTTTCAAACTTTTTGATGGTAAAATAGCTGATGACATGATTTTTCAATTCTTCGAAAAGATTTTAATTAAAATTACAGGATATTTATCATTTTTTACAAACGTATTCTTTAATTTAACCACACTTTCTTACATATAACAAAAATGTTGGAGAACTGTTTGAATTAGTAAGACTAATTTCAACTGATTTCATTTGCTAGTTGTTTACGTGGTGTTCTTTAAATAGTTGCATCAACCATATTTCAAATTTGTAAAAGAATTATCAATTTTTGTAAAATTATGACTACGGAAGAAGGTTTTGAACAGGTATTTTTGAACTTATCAAATTTCACTTTTTAAAAAATATGTCACTTTTAATATGAACCTAAGAAGTTTCTAACCTCAGTTATTAGTTACTTAAAATAAATTTTAGTTTGATTATTAGTGCTTAATTTTACTATTCTTAGTCAAATAAGTTGTTGATAAGAATTACGAATGAAATTTAATCAAATTAATTACAGTTTGAAGATGAAGAAGCAGAAATTCCGATCGGTGGAACTTTACCAGGCGGTAGAAAACGTTTGTTTTCAAAAGAATTACGCTGTATGATGTATGGTTTTGGAGATGATCAAAATCCTTATACAGAGAGTGTCGACCTATTAGAAGATCTAGTTATTGAATTTATTACTGAAATGACGCACAGAGCTATGGAAATTGGACGTACTGGTCGTGTCCAAGTGGAAGATATAGTATTCTTAGGTATTGTTAAAATCATTTAACATTATATTACATATTAACTTGCTATAAAAATCTACAATATTTATTTTGTTCTATTTTATTTCATTAGGTTTTTCACATTTTTATTAATATATTTATAATAATATAGTGTAAAAAATTTGTTTATATATATATAGAATTTAACAGTCACTTTATTTTATAGTTAGGAAAGATCCAAGGAAATATGCAAGAGTGAAAGATCTTCTAACAATGAATGAAGAATTGAAGAAAGCTAGAAAAGCGTTTGACGAAGTTAAATATGCAGGTACTGTTGCTCAGTAAACTTATTTAACAGTCTGTTAATATTTAAGTGTATGACAAATAACTTTTATTTTATTTGAACTCAATCTTCTTTACACATTTATATTCATATCTTTATTATTTTTTACTTATATTTTTCTTAAATTCTTTTGACAAATTGAGAATTCTTTAATAAACAGAAAGTTCAAATAAGATTTGTTCAAATATAAGTAAAATATTTTATATTTCAAACTTTTTTGTTATAATTGTTCCATAGTACCATTAAGAATAAATGTTGCATCATAGTAGTTGCACAATTAATTATAATTTCTTTACAAACATGGAATGCTATGTGCTTGTGCAATGCATCTCTATATATTACTTTCTGCCTGCTTATCATAATCTTGAGATATATAGTTTTTCAAAGAGAATAATCAAATTTACTTAATTTTTCTTATTTTATTCCAAAATAACAGTAAAAAATGGATAAATTATGTAATTATATGATAATAATGTAAATAATATATCATTGCTATCTGTTTATGTTATATTTATATATATGGCAATAGAATAGGCAATAGATAAAGACTTATATTTTTTTTCCCATTATTATTCTGTGATCTGTATTACAAGCTTGTATATAATTAATAAAAATAATGCATGTATTATATTTAAGTCATAGTCTATAAGTTATTTTGGTTTGATAATATACATATACATGTCTGCTGCGCGTGTGTGTACGTGTGGGTGTGTGTATGTGTGTATTATTTTCTTTTTTCTTTTTTAATCATAGAGGAAAGCATTGCAACGTCTGCCTGGCCAAGCTGCATTTGAATTTTATTAAATTATAGTATATGTAAATTGATATCAGAAACAGCTTGTTTTGCTGACAGAATAACATCATTGATTCCTACTCCTTGGTATGAAGAACCACACAACCCTAAAGGAATTTTATGCGTGGATATATAATTGTGGATGTGGGTTAAGCGTTGCATGTGACCTACTAAATGCTGCGGAATACAGTCCTTCAAAATGGAAACATTGAATGCCTTGGGATCTTCCTTAATGTGTAAGATTTCCTGTACTTGATTGACTGCTACAGACAGCAAGTGTTCTTCTGATGAGCATTGTCCAAAGTATTTTTCAAACCATGCGCCTCCCATCATTACTGTCAGTACCTGGATTTTAATAATTATAAATGTATATATACATTATGTATATTCAATATTCAACATGAAAAAGTGCTTCTAGTCCATTATATGTTCATAAAAGGTCATTTAAATACTAAGATTCATTTTATATCTTTGTAAAATACTTTTGAAATTCAGTATGAAAAACAAAAAATTGGAGCATAAAGTATGGAAGCATGGATGATGGAAATTATAAAAAAACCAAACAATAAAAGTTCCAACTTATACATACTGTTGCTTTAGACCTTTGAGGAATGATATGCGAGTCAAATATCACTCCTAGGATTGGTCTTTCTTCTTTTGGTCGAATAAGGATTCCAAATGCATTTATAGGTAAGATGTTCTCAGAAAACTGAAGATTTACAACACCTACTGTTACAGTAGGTATGCCTTTCAATTCATTAGATAATTCTGGGTGTTGGTCCTGCACAAGATCAGCTAAAGTTTTTGCAGGCAAACTTGAAATAACACGAGAACATGTTTTAATTTCTCCATTTATAGTTAATTCTACATCATCTTTATTAAATTTAAGTTGTTCACATTTATGTTGCATTTTAATATTAACTCCACGATCAATTATATTATGAGCTAATGTTTCTGGCAAATGCTCGATACCGCCCTCAATACCCCACATTGACCATTTTTCTTTTTGAGCTCTTTGTACTAAACTTGTCTGTGTATTATTTGATTTTTCATTTATTGAAGTATTATCCTTTATTTTTGAAAATCGTTCATGTATAAGTCCTTTGATTATAGAACCATGTTTTTGTTCAGCTTCAAATATTCTAGTCATAAATGATTTTGCACTTATTTTGTGTGCATCACCCGCAAAGATTCCGGCGATTATTGGACTAATCATTTTATCTGCTACATCTTCACCAAATCTTCGTGCTATAAAATTATATACACTTTCATCATCTTTAAGATCTTTTGTAACCGTTAGTTCGTTCCATAGAACACTGAACATAGAACGATTTAACAAGCTATTTTTTTCAATTAATCCTTTGATACCAGTAGGCATTAAATGTATCTGACCGTCTGCATATATTAACCGATTTCTAGATGCAGGATGCCTAAAGGAAATAGGAATAATTTTATCTGATAAGTGTAATTGTTCTATTAATTCTAGTGTAGTGTTACTATTTTTATCATTAGTATTTCGCATTGTTCGTGGACCTTGTTCAAATATTGTACCATCAGCTAATTTGATAGAATGTAACCAACCACCTACACGATTTGTAGCTTCATATATAACTATAGGAACCATTTTTGTATTTCGAAGAGCATAATATGCAGCTGATAAGCCTGAAATACCAGCCCCTAATATTGCTGTCATTTTGAATATATTAATATATTCAAAATATTTATATATTAATATTGTTTTATTCAATAATTTTTAGCTGTTATGTACAATTCAATACATTTTTTAAATCATATTTCTTCTTGTTTTAAATGATATAATATATAATAATATTACCGGCTCTATTTATCTAATGATACCGGTTTGATATTTCTTACTAATGTAATTAACTTGTAATAAGTTCAATACTATTACAAAATAAAAATTTATGTACACAATAAACAGATAATGTTTTTTTATTTTTTGTTACACATTTATGATACTGTTTTTAATACGAGATGGGTTATGTTTGCACAAGTATCACTGAATGAGTGAAGGAGTTAAGTAATAGATTTCTGAGATTCTATGGAATGTTTACGAAGGAAAGTAATGTACATTGAAATGATTTACTACTTAAAAAATTTCCATTCATAAATAGAATTACAAAATTATAATATTATTATGTATATATTTTTTAATAATTTAACAATATTTAAATAAATATTTTGAAAATACTATTCTAACCATGATTTAATTAGTGAAATTCCGTCAAAATAAAGTAAAAAATGTGTAATGTGGTTATTTTTATTTAAAATTTTATTCTCCATAATTTTATGGCATTAAATTTAATCAGCCGTGAATTGAGGTACTATCCGCTTACGTCAATCGCTAATTATAATGTACGAGCAACCGATTCTTTTGATATTTTAATATTCTGATTTTACAAACGCGTTTACGTTGATCATCATTGGTGAGATTACGTTAAGTTAATATTCTATAATCACATAAGAGATTTTATTAGGATTCCCGTCAAAACGATTTTTTAATTATTTGTAGAGCAGCATAAAACACATTCGGTTTTAAATACAGGTGTTAGAATTTCATTCAATAATTATTCGATACTTTATTAACTTCTCAAAGTTCCAAGTATAACAATTAAAAAAAATGGAAAGTGGCAGTAGATTGTTATCTATTCTTTTAAAAGTTTCTGAAAAAGCTGCAAATATTGCAAGAGCATGTAGGCAAAATGATGCTCTTTTTAAACTACTTGTGCAAGAGAAGTCAGAAGAAGAGAAGAATCCACGCTTTTTTCAAGACTTCAAAACTCTAGCAGATGTTCTTATACAAGAAACAATCAAACATGACATTGAAAAGGAGGTAAATTCCCTCTTTTGTATATCTATTCCATGTTTTATATTATCTGCTTCTTTAGTTTCTGTGTGATAAAATATATATGTGTCATTGAACCACGTTAAACAAGTTTTAAATTAATGTAGTTATAATATATGTATTAATACAATTAGTTTCCAGAATTGGCCAAAGTATTACAAGGCGAAGAAAATAATATATTTAGCAATGCTGTAGGTGAAACCGTAATTATTAAAGTTTGTTCTACTATTGAAGAAACAGTTCAGTTATTAGCAAAAGTGATGGATAGTGATATCACAACTGCAGAGTTATTAGCTGCTGAGGTTCATAAAGATATTGAATTGTTAGATGTGCCTATTAATACAGAACTATCTTTGGATTTTGATATTAATGTTGATGACCTTGGTATATGGGTAGATCCAATTGGTAAGAAATATGACAATATAGATTACTGTGATAATATTCTAAAAAGAATGAACTTTATTTATATCTAATCTTTATAATTTATAATGTTAATAAAACATTACAAATATTAAAATTTATGGTAAATATGTTCTCTTTAAACTATGTAATTTTTATCTGTCTGAATGTAATATTAATTACATTGTTTTCATTTATGTGTGTAAAATTTTCATATGGAATTAACTTCTTTCTTTTTCTATTATATGTCTTAAAAATTTAGTTTTTTTTACAAAGTTAAACTATTGCCTTTGTCATTAATAATAATTTAATTAAATTACTCGTCAAATTTTATATTTGTTTTGTAGTTTAATAAAGCATGCCTGAGGAGCAATTCGTGGAAATTTTGTAGATTCAACTGCAGATTATATACATGGAGGAGAAAAAGTGGATGATGCGACTGGCATACATTTGAGCGGTTTGCGTTGTGTCACTGTTTTGATTGGAGCATATTCCAAGAGCTCAGGCATACCAGTTTTGGGGGTAGTTAATCAACCTTTTTACACATGCATAGATGAATGGTAACATATAAATTTTGTTAACTTATTTCATAAAATATTAATGTTTCAGTATAATACAATTTATTAAGTAAATTTATTTAGTAGGTGGAAGGGAAATTGTTACTGGGGCTTTGTTGAAAATGATGTTGGAAAATGTTCTATACTCAAAGAACCTACTGATAAGAAGGTAGTAGTTCTTAGTAAAGTGGAAGATGTTAACATAAAATCTAAATTATTAAGTGCTGGTTTCACTTTAGTAGAAGCAGCAGGGGCTGGTTATAAGATTTTATGTGTTGCTCTTGGCCAAGCTGATGCTTATATTTTATCTAAAAAATCTACCTATAAGTGGGATACGTGTGGTCCCCATGCTCTCCTACGTTCTTTAACCGGTGGTATTATTGAATTTGAAAGTTTTATAAACAATTATGATTCAAATCACTTGAATATAAAATATGTATCCACAACTAATAATTTTTCAAATAATAGTGGTTTGATAGCATATCGAGATCCTGAAATTTTACAAGTACTAAAATATATTTTATGCAAGTAATGCATTTTTAATATTATTTATTCAAATATCACTATACTTACATATTTTATGTATTATGGTAATATCAGTTAGTGGAAGTTTAAAACTTCTAAAAAGGACTTATTGACGATGCATTTATTGTCAAATATACCTTTGCACTTATAAGTGTAAATTAACTTTTTAAAGTAAATATTATTAAATAATCTTATGATTAAGGTGTTAAATATGTTTGTCACATTCTATAAAAATTTTATGAAATGGATAAAGTACAAAAATTCTTTTAAATGCATTCAATGATTTATTTTACTTAAGAACTTCTTAATTAAAGAATTACTGATATCAACAGCAAAGAAATCATTTCTTCACAATTGTATTGTGATAAATTAAATTTTTTTGTCACTTAATTTGTATTTAATGCAAGCAGTAATATGTGTTTTAATGAATAATTAATTAGATAAGAATAAATATAGTGTGATATCAGGTCTGTCCAACTATAAGATTGTAGAAAGTTAATAAAAGTTATATGTTTATTTATAGGCTAAATGTTAAATATATTTTTCTGGAGAGTATACATAATTTTGAAGTATTTTTGAAACCAAAGTTTTTATTTTATACTCACTATATTAAAAGTACTTAAATAATTGTATAAATTACCTTATTCGATATTTCAATTACGAAATTATGTCTATTTGCAGTCAATAATAAGTCATAAAATATGTTAAAAAGGTTTATGTGAAATAATTGAAGAAATTTTCGAGAAACCAAAAATTTTACTATCGTTCATGACGACCAATTGTAATATTATCCTTAACATTCCAATATCATTTTAGTGAGTAGTTCTTTAACTGACCATTATGCATGAGAAGAAGACCCTGTAATTGATGAGTTTTAAATTTTTAGACAGTAAACTAGTTTGATCTGGACCTCGGAGCCTACGCAATGTTTATTTTTTCTCTGTTTTTATATCTGTCTGTGACATGGCATGCCATCTTGTTAGTAAATGAGAGTAAACTTTTTTAAGTAAAATCAATTTGGCTAATGGCTTCACATAAAATAAGGAATAAATAAACATTTAGTAAAATTATATCACACAATGGGAATTATTTTATGTAACAAGTTGTATTGTATGATAAATAAATGTATTATATACTTATTATTATGTACGTGGGGAAATAAATGAAAAAATGGAATATGGTTTCAAATTTTATTACTTCTCAATTTTTGTATTACATTATTTATTTTTTTATTAGATATTTTCAACAATGAGCAATACGTAGAAATCTATCTTATTTATTTTTTATGGCTTATAGACTTTATCATAATTACAATGAAAAAAAAGTATTTGTATAAAATCCAGGTTCAACTTTGAATGTACTTGTCCGAGGTATATTGATGTTTTCATATAATGTTGCTACGGTGTTTAAAAATAATTTTATGTGTACTTACATAATTTTAATATAGAATATAACAAATCATTACGATGTGATAATCTTAATTATTTCTTTCAATTTATTCAAATTAATAGTTCCACGAATTTAATATTTTTTTCAGCTTTATATGTGTAAGAAGATGCACATGTAACAAAATTATAAATAAAATTACAAAGTTTACAAATATGTATATACAAAATATAATTTAAACATGATCTAATCCTAAATATCCTCAGTAACATTACCAATTTTTTAAACAGTTAACATAACATTTCTTTCGCTTGAAAATATTAAACATCACTACCAAATCTTTCCATGAGATGCTTTTTTGTATCTACAGTTACAAATATTTTTGTCGTAATTGTTACAAATTGTACTCATCGATTTCTCTTATATAATCGAGCATTTATTTTCACGCTTATCGTTAGTCAATATTTAATTTGAATTTATTTTATTCATACAAATTCTTTATAAATGTTCCTCTGAGTGTGATTCGAGTTGTCGTTGTACGTATTGAGTCATGGGTCGAAACGAGTCATTCCGGAAACTGGCACTTCTTGCTGGTCCGCCCTGACTTCCATTTGTCTGTCGGCGGACGCTAATATAAGTCGTACACGTATTCATACGCCGCAGGACAGAGTAACTCGAGCCATTGCCACCTAAAACAAAAAAAGAATTTTCCATATTTGTTGGAAGTTTATAAAAAATAATTGTTCATTTTCTTATGAAAAATAAAAATTATAAAGTTGACATTGATTATCATCGTTACATTGTGATTATAATTCGAACATAGAAGCCGTTTGTAACAAACTCTGTTTAATAATACGAGAGTCTTACCGAAATTCAAATTCAATCTTTCTTTAAATATAAAGTAATTTGTGACTAGATATTACTGTTCATTTTTGACTTATTTTCTCACCTTTTTTGAACCCTAAATAACTATATTTACATCAGTGTTACTCTGTAACTAAATATTCAACTACAAATTAAAGACATGTATATTTTTTTATTTCTTCTATTTATTTCAAACAAACTAGCACAACTTAAGACATGTGTTATTAGTTTTCAATTAAACAATAGGAAAGTATTCAAAAGTAACGTTTGTAGTCTTGGCATATATTAAAAGTGTGCTCTTGAATTCAAATTCTCAAAAATGGCGAAGGTCGGTAGATTATTTAAATGAATGTTTAGTTATCTAGGGTTAATAGACGTTCGGTGTGCATTCGAAGTTTTAATGTCATGTAATATCGTAGAAAATAGTGGAGGTCTAATTACCAGTCAAGGGAATCCCAACCAAACTGGCGTTGTTGGTATCATTACGTTGCGTTTCATGACGAACAATACGATGTATCCCGGGCAAACGAGTAATTGCCACGGTGAAGCTACTTCGAAATCTCGCGTTCATCCAGCAATAAATCACCGGATTGTAACAAGAATGCGACATGGCCAGCCAATGAAGGGCCATCCACAGAAAGGGAAGTCCAGACCATTTTACCAGTGACGCGTTGTTGTCCATTATTAGCTGAAGATAAAATAGAATTTCATATAAAAAGAGCTTCCGATTTGTTAGACAACGTTTTGAACGTTCATTTCTTTGATAATAAATTCGCGGGTTCGTAATTCGAAGTCTTTAAAAGATAAATTAATGTTCAAGGATCTCCTTTAACTAATTCCAGGTGTAATTTTCTTCTCAAGTTAATTGCCGCGTGTGAGTCGTTTGGTGTCCCGTTGTTTTCATCAGTGACAAGGGAAGCGCAAAATCAGAGATAAATGGAAAATTGTGTGTCCTGCGTCGCTTACGGAATGCGAAAATGGCTAGAAAGGAAATTAAACGGCCGGTAATGTTAATAGTTCTTAATATTGGATTCTAGAAATGGCACGGTTTGCTTATGAAAAAGTATTAACTTAGCATTGACGTGTTGGGGATTTCTAGAGAGAACCGTAATGGAATTTCTATTTGAATTGATTGTAGTTAGTTTGGAGTTCTTTGAAAACGATCAATATATGCATTTGATAAGAAAATATGGAGAAAATATACGGAACAGCGCGATGGTGCCGTTTGACACACAAACGGTTAATTTTTTAATATCGATTTACTTTTGAAATTATCGGAATAAGTCACTTACATTTAATATGTTGAATGGGAGCCAACAGATTGTAAATACTATAACAACGGTCACCATCATCTTCACCATCTGAAACATATGAAATTTAGATATAATTTTGTTAATTGATATTTTTGTTGATGCATAATATTTGAGTCCGAAATATTCAATTAAATTTAATTGGTGTTTGAGAAAATAACGTAAAAGGAAAAAAAAGTATAACGGAAAATTTAATAAAATATGTTTATCTCTTACGAATTATATGTATTTTGACAACGTTCGATTTATGTTTAGCGTTTTTCTAATTTCACTATAAGTTTTGTTTTAAGATTTACGTCCGTGGTAATTAGGTGTTGAGAATTCACAGTGAAATATGAGAAAGAAGCGTAGTTAATCAAAATCTCGCCACAGCGAATAATTCACGACGAATACCATTTTTTGGTTGGAGTTACGCTACTGTCGTTAATATTCTGTGGTCTGTACAATGCGAGCTTATTTTACTGTGTGGCTTGCGAATACGTCTACGGTCACACATTATCGCAGGTAACATCATTTACGTAGGAAAATTTCTAACCATAATGGATTATGGTTTAATTTGTTGGTATTTCGAAAGAAGTTTCCATTATTTAGGATAATACGATGAAAAATTATTGTTTTCCATAATTAGTAGGGTTTTAATAAAGGGATTGAACAAAACATGGTGATTTTCTACTTTTCAGTTGTGAATGTGTTCGAACGAATTGAATATATAAATATCGATTTTTCTCTTTAGAAATCTTTTCAAGGCATTGCGATTTAAAGGGAGTTTTCCCTTTACGACTAGGTACTTCATACGTCTTCTGAATTTTGATCACTATATTTTCTTATTTGATATCTATAAATCGGCTGCCCGTAAGATATTTCATGTTTGTTTTCTTTATATATCTTTCATTTGACCATAAAACTGAATTTGAGTATTCTGCAGATGTTACTCCCTAAAGATTTTACCTCTTAAGATATTTCAGAATTATTGTATTACAAACTGGCTGTTTTCCTGTTATCAAGTTTGATAGTTAGTAATTTTTGCTTCCTTTGAAGTAATCGTTATTTCAATATTGCAATACGTTTTTTCTGAACAAAAAGTCTATTTTACATTTAAGTGTTTGAAAATAAACAGGTGCTTCTTGTTTTAAATGCATAATATATACACATTACTATTTATATACTTTCAATTTGCTCAGGAATTTAAAGCAAAACAGTTTTAGAACTAATTTATTATTTCAATACAATTATGGAAATATCGATTAAATTAGTTCCTAGAGGTCAACATTAATACTGCAAATTATCATTTGTAGATATCTTATGCTAATATTATACTCAACTTTACAATGTTACAATTTCTTCAGTTAAAAGAAATGTTGACTTTTCAAACGTTCTCGAAAGATCATCTGAACAAATGTAAAGATTTTGATGAAATCTGATGAAATATTTCTCCCGCTGATAATGGAATTAAATTATTCAATTGCAATTCAGTTATGTATTAATTTTGCCTCGCTCTATAAATTTCTTGTTTATTCATCGAATTTCCGGTCTCCCTTTTTCCTTCGCTTCACACCGTGCCGAGAAATAGTTTATTCCAGTTTCCATGCTAGTTTCTGTCCTTGCTTATATTCCGTCTGATATATATCTTCGTTTTTCCCGTTGGGCCCTGTTCGCCGTGTTCAGATACATTTCCAGTGCCGTTGCCAACGCGTCCCTTCATTACGAATCAAACCTCACACCTTTCATACTGTAGTGTTATACATCTTGCAAGGGCTATGAAAAAAGGGTTCCACAAACGTATCGATGCTGCTTTGCCGTAAAAAGTGGAAGGAACCAACTCTCAAGAGAATGACGCTCCTCAAATATTTATGTTTGCTTCTTTACAAAAAACAAAATGGAAACTGGTCCTAGACCTACCATTCGGCGAATCAACGGCTTATTTTACGAAGCCGTGGCCCGCTATCAAACGGCTAGCGTGACGAATAACGTTGATAATTTATTAAAGCCTAATCAGATATTAACGTATACTGATTATGTTAATATATCCAACAAGCGATAGCGTCATTCATCAATATTTACGGAATATACATTAGTAACAGCAGAATTTTTCTTATCCAAAGAATATTTTTTAATATCAATGCAACTTGACGTTAACTTGAAATCTGAATAATGCGTCGAATGCAATGTTAAAGTCATTTTATTTTCATTGGAATACTCTACCTTTTAATCATTTTTATCGATCGGGTTTTTAAATACAAATTATATTCATATAAACGGTTTAACTTTGCAGTTCATTCATATTCAACTAAAATTGCTTTTCGATAAGACACGCGCACGAAAAAGGAATATTTATGTACATTGAATGTTATGCAGACGTAAACTGATGAAAAATTCGACAACGCGTGCTGTGATAAGATTCTATCAGGTTATTGATCTCATTGTTGCACTGAAGTTATGGTGGTAATAAAATTTATGGTACACAAGTATTTAAATGACTCGTATCCCTCCTCTAATATTTAAGATACGATTTGTGTTTGAAGAAAGATTTCAAATGCACGTTAAAATGGATTAAATTGGCTATTAAATAAACAAATGTTCAAGATTCAAATACTTTCTTGTGTAATTCTATACTAATACACGTTTAATAAGGAATATTAAATTTACGAAAAGTACGCCTGTAAACAATCTTAGTTGTCGAATTATCCTAGAGATTTTTCCACAACCGTAAAATCTAAGTCCTTCAGAAAATGCATGGCCGCAATGGGCCGCAGATTGAGGGTAATGCCTATAAATATCGGGGGTAAAGTTAAAAGTAAGTTAAAAATAAAATTTTCCGACTATTCTTCGTAATATTTTTAAAACGAAGGATCGGTATATGTTCTTGGAATCACTGAAATTTAGCTCTCAGATATTCCGATCAAAATAATTCACACCTATAAAATACTTAATATTTCTTTTTAATTTGATGAAATGCTAGTTTTCATTTTTCCCTTATCTCTATTTGCTGACTCATGTGTTCATTTTGTTTATTCTGCTGAAATATATTGTGTATGCACATAAAATATTGGAATTGCAAATTTTCTACAAAAGAATTCATAAATTATGTTTTTCAGAGAAGAGAACTGTTTGCCAGCTTGATACGTCTGAGAAGTAATATTCAATGATGCAGCACTATGGTGGTCACATATATTGCATTTTATAGAGGTTATTGAAAATAGCAGTCGATTCTTCCTTTTTTTTGCTGTTATAGTCTGTTAAAAATTGTTCTTGTATAAAAAGATGTTAATTATAACCTTCTAATTTGGTTTTTCAGATTTTATAAATTGCTTTGAATTAGGATTCATTTTTTTCAAATATTGCCAGGTAGATAAAAAAAATTGTTCGAACTGAAAATGATAAAAATAGTATGAAAATAAAACAAACTGTATGTAAATCATTATTTACACTCGATGAAAGGTGTCTCTAATGTAATAATGTGTGGGAAAATGCTTGGTAAGTATTGTAAGATAACACAGCGATAAACGCGTGCACATAGATTTAAATATTCTGTCTTCATTATCACCTGTGAACCTAGTTTAGATAATTAAACAGTAATTTACTGTTGCATGTTGAACTAAATGATATAAAATATTGACAATACTTGAGTAGAATAAACCACCAAATTAAATATTTATATTTATTAATCATATAAAATTTGTGTATTCTTTTCATCGGGCGTGATATTGAGTATTGATATAAATTTTGTCTTATTTTTTATTTCCGCAATGGCTTTATTAATAAATAAATTAATACGGAACGAGTTTTATTAAATGAAATTAAAGTGGGATATATTAAACAACAAAATTATAATTAAATTTTTACTTGGAATATTACAATTGTTCGGAAAATTAATAAGAACCACTTTTAATTTTTTCTACTGTAGAATTTGTATTTCAAGAGTTTAATATTAACATTCTGAAACTCGTAAGATTAATTTTATCTGAGAATTATGACATTTCAATTCGTACGCTATATAAAAATGCATGGGTGAGTATTATTTCATTTTGTTCCTTTCATATTATTTGCATGTCACATTGACTTCATATATATATGATGTTTAATAATAAGATAAAATATAATACTTTCGTACTCTGTGAATTAAACAAATTAGAATGACATATGTATTAGAAATAGAGTTGAAAACAAAATTTTCTGTAAATTCTAAAGTTACTACTGTAGCGATAATTACCATATGTCTGTGAATAAATACAATAATTGACATATTAATATTTTGTCACAAACAGAATAATTGCTATTTAAATAATGAAAATTATTAAGTAATTCACATAATGAAAATTACCATGAAGAATCGAAATAAAAGAAAAATGTAATTAAAAAGGCATTACAAGACACATCATTCGAAAACTTTATGCAGTCCAACTTCTTTTAACAAAGTAAAACGTTTCGTGAGATAAGCAATAATCTTGACTGGTTTATTGTCTCGTTTCTATCGCGAAAACAACCACAATTACTACAGTGAGTCCAATAAAGTGTTCTTGTAAATTTCATGCAAATTAGTGCATTACAATCTCTACTTTAACGATTACTACCTTCATTATAAACGGTTTTTTAGTTATATCGGAGATCGCGTCATGTATATATTTTCAGTGGTATATGCAGACTTTTTAATGTCTAAGTATATTAAAAATAAAACGATGTTTTATTTACTACCTTATTTAGATACAATGAAATTCCTCTTAATTTGAACTTTTCACTGTGAGATACAAAAACAGGTGTGGCTGAATTTGAGAGCAGGTTTATTACAATTATATTAACTTTGCGCCGGGTTGCACATCGTATCAATTTTCTAAAACTATTATGCATTGTTCCAATTCTTATGTTTGTTTTGCAGAAAATAACCTTTATTGTAGGTTCTAGTTGACACGATGCCCATCTGTCTATTAATTTCAAATTAGCAAGCCAGTGATCCTGTAGCGTGTGATTTAAAATTGTTTAAAACTAACAACAGAATCCATTGACTCCATTGTACTTTATAATGATTAACCTTTTGCACTCGAAGATTTTTCATTGGAAGTATTCAATGTTTTCTAACGAGAAATGGACAACATTTTTTGAAACCAATTAAACATACTTAAGTTAAAGAACGAAGTTATTTTATTTCAATATTTCACTTATCAATGAATTATATAAAAATTAATATTATGTATATGACTTTGTAATTTTGCTATATGAAAGAATGTGGTGAGTGAGAGACTGAGTAATGTATTGTACACCGATTTTGCGTTCGACAATTTAAAGGTTATACTAAATTTTGAAGAGAAGTACATTAATATTATATTGTATAGAGTAAAACACGACGAGTGACAAATTTGCAATTTAACATTTTAATCACATGTGAGAGAACATATTCCAAGGCAAGTGTTTAATGTATGCATCTCAACATTTAAAGAAAATTTTCAATATATTAATATTTAAATACAGGGTTTGGGCAGAAATAATGGTAATTTAAATAAATTTCCTAACAAAAGTAGTACAAAGTGAACGTTATTTATAAATATATAATTGTAAATGATCTTTTATGTATTATATATTATATATATTCATAAGTTCTTCTAGATAAAAGAAACATGAAAAAGTTAATAAATATATTGATTTCATATAGGAATTCGTTGCAATAAGTCATATTTTAAAGAAAATATATTAAATATTAATTACAATATATTGTAGATCACTTCATCACGCCTTAACTTTCGTCAGCAAGAGTATCGTATCAAGTTATGAATAATATAGTTCGGCGAGACACTGAAATCTTCATCGCAGACATTGATATAAGAACTTCGTTATCAGCATTAGCTCTTGAATCGAGTGTTCAAACATCATTTATTAAAATCGTGAGATGTATTGTGTATGTGTTCCATTCCTTACCATTTACGCAGAAGCCCGATAATTTGTTGCATTGCGGAAACAGAAAAGTGCAGCGTTTTACTTGTCAAGTGGATGCTAATGTGCAATCTTTATCAAATAGATAAAATAGTGTATAATTTACTTCATTGGTCTATACATCATCGACAGTCAATAGAAACAGTGACAGCCGTAATAAAGTCCGCTGAACATGGTTCCTTTCTTGTTTTCTCAGGACTGATCTCTTTTGATCTCTTCAATTTGATCTCTTATCTTGTTGAAATCAAATTCAGATCTTTTTCTTTTCAACATTTCACTTTTACAGTAAATATAGACTTACAAATAACTGTAGAATTATTCCTACGTTTAGTTAATTATTGAGAATAATAGAAATTTAAAAAGGACAATTACAAAAGAAATCGCAAGGCTAGGGGTTACGGAAACAAAATATAATATTTCAAAACATGAAATTTTGATACGACAAGATTGAATACAACCCTGTAATTTATAAATTATACAAGTCGATGACTGTCACATGACTTGAGTTGTCAATTATAAAATTTCATTATAAATGAAAAAAATCAACAGTTCGCTACATTACGAAAAGAAAACCACGTGGTTCCTTTTTATCTTAAGTAGATGTAGATATGCAGTTCTCATGAAAATAGATAGTACTATTTCCATAATTTAGGTATAGCATAAATTACTCCATCGGTTTATATACTATTGACGAAGAACAGAAAAGCCAGTACTCTCGACGAGTTCGTGCGAACCAGATTCGTTATATTTTCTCTAGCATGGAGAACTTTCATTTCCTTGTTTTCCTAGGACTGATGGGTTTCACCCTGTCACGTAAGTGTTCTTGTAACAGTTACAAATCGCGTTCGAAGTTGTAGCTTTTAATTGTCTGTGAAATAGTTAAATGTTAATATAAAGATATAAAACAAGATACTTGCACGTTCATTAGATAAAATGTACGAATATATTTCATCGTCGTAGGAATTAGACAATTGATATTAGAATGCCTGCAATGTAATTCTAGTGATCACCATTTATTTTCTTTTTATTATGCTACAAGATGTGTCTATGGACTCCAATGTTATTCCCAAATATAGTGCTTATTTTTTTGCATTATCATAGATTGTTTTTGTGATACCTCGTAGAAAGCAACTTTTTATTTTGAAATTAAAGCAAGGATACATAAAATGACAAAACTTTCCTATAAAAGTACTGCAGAAATAACGAATTAACTATCTAAATTTTACTGGAATTGTTTTATTAAAGATTAGGATATGTTTCGTGAATTTGAACGAAGAATAGACTTTTTGTAAGCAAATGCAAATCTGTCAATTTCTATAGAAACAAATAATGTAGTAACTCATAAATTAGGCACTGCACAAATTATTCTATGGGTGTTATTTTTGTCCAATATGAGACTCTTTCGTGTGTTTGTTTTCGTGGTATTAATTGCGATATTCTCAACGCATTTGAAATAGTGGCTATTTATTCCATGTGCAATATTTTGAATGTTGACGTAAGACGATAAAACACGATCTTTTAGTAACTGATACAAACTTTTACGAAACATATTTGCGACACGTGTTGAGAACCGTACGATAATGTAATTGTATAGTATTCTGTATGCGAAAGTAAAAAAAATGTCGAAATGGAATATTGTTGCCAACTTTAAATGCACAATGAGGATCTTTTTTCTTTTACGTAAATCATCCGATACATACTGTAAATCCATTGGTAAATATGCCTACAAAGGTTGTTCGTAAATGTATGGTATTTCATAATTATTGAAAAACAAATTTTATAAACGAAATTTAAAAATGATATTCTTTACAGAGTCCTTAAATGGGCAGCCAGATGTTAATACCATTTTCATCCGATATTACGGGTAACTATATAATTACATGTAAATAATATTAATTTAGAACCAATTAATATTTTTGTTGCTACATACACATAAAAAAATCCTTTATATAGTTATCTTTACATGATAAATAATGGTATCGGTATTTGTTTAAGTATTTGTAATCTTGCCATAGCGTGATTCTACACCTTCGGTTGAGTGGAGATTGAGGTAAAGAAGCTGCCGCAAAATTTTCTCTAACTTTGCAAGAAAAGGGTTAAAATTTGTTATTGCGCCATTGCACTCTATTCATCGCGGGGGTAAGCAAATAGTCTGAAAGGAACCATGGGTAAAAAATGAATAGTAGTCTTGTGAATCGCTGTTGAACTTTGCTTGAGAGAGTAATGGAACGTAAAATCGATTGTCCTTTTCTGGTACATTCCGTTCTTAAGGAGAATGCGATTAATATTATTTACTTGTCTTGCCATCGCGGCGAATAGTATCTGCAACATGAAAGCGGCGCGCCGCGCGAGTGTACCAGAAAAGGACAATCGATATTGCGTTCCTTTTACAAGAACGCGATTTACAAGAAAACTATTCATTTTTCATTCATAGTTCATCTTTGAGATCATTTGCTTCCGCGATGAGTAGAATACAATAGTACAATTAAGAATATTAACCCCCTTTTTTCAAGGTTAAAGGGAATTTTGCAGTAGCATCTTCACTTCAATTTGCAATTTTAAGTTTTACATTTGTTAATGTACATAATAACAATTTTATAATAACCATTTCTTAATCAATTTTTCCACCGACTCCCAATCGATGCCCAGGGGTCGATATCGACCACTTTCGCAACCCCTGGTGTATGACTAGAAAGTACAATCATTTCTTTATATAAAAACATTGTTCTCGAAAACATTCTTTTCAGGAATTACTCGAATAGCGATATTAACATACAGGATACGGATACCTTGATGAATTACTTCAAATTGAGCGGATGTTTTGTATTATACATTCATGGGTATTCGGAAAGCGTGAATAGCGAAAGTGTCAATACAATAGCAGCTGGTAAGTTATGATTTAAATTTACAATAAAACAATTTTCTGCGTTTGATTTGTTTAAAAAGAGATTTGTTTAAAATGCATTATTTTGCAAGTAAACTGTTTCTCTAATGATAAGATAAAGTTTCATTTTGCATTTTGCACAGTTGATATTTCTTCTCAACTCAAATAAATGCTTACTAAGTTTTTTTTATAACAGTCCGCAGTATTGTCAAACAAAGAAGTTTTCTCGACGTAGAAAATATTTTTATACTTGCAAAGTTTTGTGAGGATATGAGTTATAGCTATCTTATCTAATTTTAATGTCCTTAATAACAATTGTTGCAGCTTATTTGAATTATACAAATACAACTCTCTTCGCAGTCGATTATAGTAAGTTCGTACAAGGTGATTATTTGTCCGCACTGTCAGCTGTTGACATTGTTGCTGGTGCCCTAGCTAGTACTATCAATAAATTGTATAATGCTGGTGTCGATCAGTTGAAGTGTATGCATATTGTTGGGCATTCTTTGGGTGGACAAGTTAGTGGCCGTACAGCAGAGCGTTTACGTTTTCTTCCTAACAGGATAACAGGTGCGTATGAATTTATATTTAATTACTAAACACGATTTTTCCGCATAACCGCGAACAGAGCAAATTGTTAGATGAAATGATTCCCTTCGATAAAGTTTCGTTTTTTAGAACAATTTTGAATGTTCGTTAACCGATTGTACCATTAAGTACAATATGGCAGACATGTTTATCCAACGTTTATTTTAATTGTTTCTAAACGTTAATAATTCTAAATGTTGAAGGGGGACACAATAAACAATATTTATTAACTAAGTTTTTAAAGTCGCAAGAGCATTATTGTGCTGTTAAAAAAACTGAATGTTTGATTTACATGATATTTTAAGTGAAGACGATTATAAATCATAATACTTAAAAATTATGAAGTGTCAATACATCGATGACAACCATATCAAATTACTTTCGATTCTCGGGGGGTAGTTTTTCACTGTTATGCCAAGCAGGATTGAGTGTAAATAGTGCGTGAATCATATGCATACGTCTGTTAATCATTTGTTAATTCTTTTTTACTATGTTAAAATACTTTTTACAGGTTTAGATCCCGCTGGTCCCTTATACTTCTCAAACTACTTAAATGCCAGTATGGCCCAATTTGTTGATATAATACACACTGATGCAGGAGCTTACGGCAGCATATATGACAGTGGCACTGTAAACTTTAAACCGAATTTTGGGCATAGGGTACAACCTGGCTGTCCTTTACTTGTCCTTCCCCTTTCGCAAGGCGGTTTGTACTTTTTATGGATAACATTTCCGATTCAATCAAGCACACACACCACTCCAAATATTCAGCCATTCATACAATCGTATTCAAAATTACATGTACATTATTTATTCATGGTAAACAAAGTTATATAAACATGTACAATATGTGTATATGTTTATATCCAGTGATATTATACGGTAATTCCCGGCGAGATGATTTTGCAGGTGAGATGGCTCGATCTGTTTTAAGTTCTCAAACACCTATATTTTCAATGGTTTTTAATGGTATATTGAATCTTGCACAGGAACCTATTTAAGTAATCTTCTTATGTATATTTGTTATCATAAATAAATATTTTTTTGGTAGGTATTAATAATATTTACGATGTAATAATTCTTTTAAGAAAAACTGGGCTGTCTCTCCTTGACTTACTCTAAACATATTAATAAAAAAAAGGAACATCTATTTGGAAAAAGCAGTAGAATCGAAAAATCAAATAAAATCTAGATTTTTCTTGATTTAGAAATGATTAAATTCAATACATTTACTAATTGCAGTTGGAGGTAAATAATTGAATTGTAGATATAGGGCGCTCAGAATCCTAATGGCGTGTGTAAAAAATTACTTTCCTTTTGAAATTGTTAATTTTTATTCTTTAAAATCAATTTTCGTGGATTATAGTACTCCACAGCCAAAACGGTTTTTAAATATTGTACTTTTAGGGAAATGAGAATATTTTCTACTTTCTTTACTTTTATTTTGTAGAGAATTGACTTAATCTTTTTGAGCAACACACATTACACGACTTACATGGCAATGATTTTCAATATCCTATATATTTAGATATCTAATTTATGACTTATGATTTTTTATTCTGACATGTTACAGACTATTGCAGTCATCACAGGTCTTGGAGGTTTTGGGCGGAAACATTGAAGAATGAAACAGGTTTCTTAGCAGTTAAATGTAACAGTGATATTGATTTTATATTAGGATTATGTGACAATAAAGACATAGTACCTATGGGACCTGCTACACCAAGGAATACGTTAGTATCATTTTTTGAAAACGTTTTTTCTTTATACCGTATCCGCTATAATTCTACGGGATTGTGGAGAAAAAAACTGGAACAGTTTCTTCAATCGAACGTAAATCTAAGATTCAAATTTTACAATAACGATGGATCATTTAACGTAACAATTATCACCAAACAGTTTAAAAATGATTAAAACCAGATGAGTGAAGAATTGTATAGCAACATAAGTAAATCAAATTGTTCTCAACTTTTAAGTTGGTTTTGTTGCTAGGACAGATAAGCGTTAATCTTCGAAAAGTGTGCAAGATGATTGAACACATATCACTTTCCCAATTTTCGAGAGAATCTAAATGCGTTTGCTGTCTCAAATATTTCAGGATCATTCCTTTTTTATTCTTATACTACAGAGCAAGTGATAACACTGTGGAACAAATTTTAACCTATGTGGCTTTTTGCAATAACCACTAGATGATTCTTATAGAGTTCCTTACCCTTAATACGAATCCGAAAACCAAATTGCTGGGTCACGTCCAGTTTTCGAAAAAACTGAGCTTTTGTAAAAACGGTCGAATTTTTCAGAGAACCAAGTGTTACGTGAAAACTAAAAACGATAGGCAGTTAAAATTTGTCGTAGAAAATAGAGGAAAGTTGCCCGAATATGTAGCTATAGAAATGTTGAATATTGTGTATAATTAAATGTTTGTAAATGATGATCAAAGTTTAAAAAAGGGTAGATGCGCGTACTTTGTATGCATTTCTGTTACATTTCTACGAAAAGTGGGTTGGCTAGCACGAATTTGCTGTGCACCATTGGATTCTGCAGACATTTCTGAAGAGGACTATACAGCGCGTAGTCACGGTCCTGCATAGCTGTGGCCGGTGAGCAATGGCTGTGTGGCGTCAAAGTTCCGTGCTCGCGCTCTTCACGGATATTTTTTTAACCTGTCCGAAAGAAAAATCATTCTCACGTTTTATGCGGGGAATTCTCTTCAGAAATGTCTGCAGAATCCAATGGTGCACAGCAAATTCGTGCTAGCCAACCCACTTTTCGTAGAAATGTAACAGAAATGCATACAAAGTACGCGCATCTACCCTTTTTTAAACTTTGATCATCGTTTACAAACATTTAATTATACACAATATTCAACATTTCTATAGCTACATATTCGGGCAACTTTCCTCTATTTTCTACGACAAATTTTAACTGCCTATCGTTTTTAGTTTTCACGTAACACTTGGTTCTCTGAAAAATTCGACCGTTTTTACAAAAGCCCAGTTTTTTCGAAAACTGGACGTGACCCAGCAATTTGGTTTCCGGATTCGTATTTAGGGTAAGGAACTCTATAAGAATCATCTAGTGGTTATGGCAAAAAGCAACATAGGTTAAAATTTGTTCCACAGTGTAATCAGCGTCCAAAATTTCAATATATATGTACCGATGAATGCATGTAATTATTTCTGTTTCCAGAACTGGCGTTTATTACCTTCACACAAATGCGAATAGTCCTTTCGCCAAAGGAATAGAAGGAATAAACGGAACAGGATTGGCAGAGAACAGAGCTTCACTATAAATGGAATGAAACATCGTACTACTTTAATTAAAAAGAAAGTCTTTTCCCTAAAGAACCTGTTTATAGATTTGTTCAATGTAATAATAAAATGTATTGCTTACTTAATTGTTGTGTGATGGTAAAATTGTGTTGGTTATTTAATTTCTATGGAATTATTATTTAAGTAAATATAGATTGTGTGCTTATTGTGAGCAACTAGGGGCTATACTTGAGGCTAATAATATTATTTTGTAGATTTTATCCAAATTAGTGCATTGCAATCTGTACTTTAATGACAATTACATCCATTACAAACGGCTTTTTCGTAAATGTTTTCAGCAGTATGCTAAAGCTACATATTTTCGGAATATGCAGACTTTTTAATGTCGTTTTCGGAATCTCGTAAATAGGCGCATATATCAATGAAAATATCGGTTAACTAAATTTAATAAGTATATTAAAAATAAAACGATGTTTTATTGACTACATTACTTAGATACAATAAAATTCCTGTTAATCCGAACTTTTAATTGCGAGATACAAAAACAGTTGCGACTAAATTTGAGGACACATTTATTGCAATTATATTAATTTTCCGTCGGTATTGCGTATTGTTTTAGTTTTCTAAAATTATTATACATTATTCCCGTTTTTATGTTTGTTTTGCAGAAAATAATCTTTATTGTGGGTTCGAGTTGACATGACGTTCTTCTGTCTATTAATTTCAAGTTTTCAAATCCATGATATGGTACTGTGAGACTAAAAATTGTTTAAATGTAACAAAAAAGCACATTGATTCCATTGTATTCTGTAATGATTAAATGACTAACAGTATAAAGGGTGTCTAAAATTTAGGTTCCAGTACTTGCACATTTGATAATGTCATAACGTCATGTTTTGCTGGCAATGTATTAATATTTAAATACAGTTTTGAAGTTGATATGACGGCACTGTAAATAACTTTTCCATTGAAAGCAGTACAAAATGAATTTTATTGTTTATGTATTATATAAGATTGTATCTGACCTTTTATGTATTATGTATTATATACATTCATTTGGATAAAAAAACAAGTTCTTTTGGATAAAACAAACATAAAAAAATATTACAAATAGAACATAGACGATAAATATTTTAATTTTGATTTAGATGATTCCCAAATATAATGATTATTTTTTTGCATTATCATAGATTGTCTTTGCGATTAGGATATATTTCGTGAATTTTTTTTTCGCATTACGAAACCGACTGCATTGACGTAGTGCATTTTTTAAGTAGATGCAAATCTGCAATTCCGATGAGACAGTTAATGCAACAACCTGTAAATTAGACAATGCATACATTTTTCCATCGGTGAGTATTAACGGAGTATAGTGGTGCGATTTTTGTCCAATGTGGAACTTTTTCGTGTGTTAATTCTCGTGGGATTAATCTGTTTGTTGTTGGCATATAAGGGTTCTAATAGTTCTCAGCGCATTTGAAATAGAAGCTATTATTTCCGTAAGCAATACTTAAATATTGACGTAAGAAAAAAAAACAGTACTGTGATGATTTTATAATCTGTTTGAAAATCTGCAAATAAACAGTAATGTTAAAATGATAATGTTACGTATAAAAAAGATAGCAAGTAATATTAAATATTAAAGATATAGCTTTTGATTTAAATTGTTACAGCAATTTTTATTTATACTAAACATAATTTTAATTCAATCATTTTTATACTATATTAAAAAGTATGCTTTTTATTTTCCAATGATACCAAAAACAACAGATCAGCAAAGACAGCATGAGTGAGAGTAACATAACGTAGAATACTGGTGTCTTCGGCGAGTGTACATTAGATACTCGTTTTATTTGTTCTATTTGTTAATTATTTAGTTAAATAAACTCTTGTTGATATTAAAGCCAGCTAACGTGTTAAATCCTATACAATTGACATTAATGTGTCTCTAAGACAGTTTTATCGTTTGTCGTCTGTTTTCTTTTAATTATCCAACAAGATGTATTTATGGAACTTAAACTGTTGTTTCGGAAGTTAATGGTTATTATTTTGCATTATTATAATTTATGTTTGCAATAGTTTGCTAATACTTTGCGAAAAGCAATTTTTCATTTTGTCATTAAAGCATGGACGCACAAAGTGACAAAACTTTCCGATAAAGGTAATAAAAAAATATCGAATTAATTATTTACATCTTACTTGTAATACTTTATTTATGTGTTTGAAAAGTTTTGTCATTCTTCTACGTTAAACTAAAGTAGCTGTTCTTGCTTGTAATTAATTAGGACCATGATGTAAGAAGGGAAAATTGATGATTATTCCATAAATATTGAACAATAATAATCAAGAATAAAACGAAAAACTTCAACTTCACTAAAAACCTTAACTTCAATATTTATAACACTGTCGAGACGTTTTATGTACCTGTTTGAATGAAAAATTGTCTGACTCTATATAAAATCGACAACAACAACGTGGTGTTCTTTCTTAAATAGATGTAAATGTGCAATTCCCATGCAAATAGATAATGCAACATCCCGTAAATTAGTCCGCGCATAAATTATTTAATGGGTTTATATACCATTGGTGGAGCGCAGAGTAAGTACAATTTTCCGAAACTGTGCAGATTGTTAGATATTTGCCGATATGGGTAATTTTCGCGTGCTTGTTTTTTTGGGATTGATTGGTTGTGCGCTATCAAGTAAGTGTTGTATTATTTGTAACTACCTTTGAAAGAGTAGCTTCTAGCTTTATGTTCGCTACTTAAATGTTAACTTAAGAAAATAGAACACGTTACTTTATCAAATGTAATAAACTTTTATGGAACACGGTACACCAGACAAAGCATGAAATGTATGATTCAGATATTCCGTATGCTTCACACAAAGTCTGTGATGCATTTATATGACAGTAATAAAACTACCACGACAAATCAAAGATATAACGGAAAGAACTCGGGTTGTGTATAAAATTATTATCCTATAGCATTGTATCATGAAATTTTATTGTTTTCTGGACTTGATGTTTGATAGAATGATATTATTTAATCATTTTTTGCCAAAATATCAAGTCTGTTGTTATTTACTTTATATTTTAATCAAGAACAACGAAACAATTTTCTAAAAGATGATATATTTTTCATTTAATTGATTTCCGTTCCATAAAAAACAGTTATAAATTAAAGTTAGATACAGAGCAATGTTTTGTTCGTGTTATGGAGCGTTGACTGTTTAACAAAAAATAAGATATGAAGAATGCTATGAATTCATTGGTATACGATGTCTTTTATAAAGTAGAATTTTACAAACATTTCGATGTAAAATCGTTAAAAAATTGTAATGCAAGAAAATTTTAAGTCGTTTAATATAAAATATTACGCTAATTGTATATTTTATTTAGGCAATACATAAATGATTATAAATATTATATTGAGTAATATAAAAATTGAACAATAAATCAAGCCTTATAAAAAATTTAACGGTGTGAGCAATGTAACATAAATTTGGAGTATACAAAACAAATGTTCCAGTTTTACAAGATAAGTCATTCTTAATATAATTATGTTTTAGTGTAAGATGACATAATAAATTGTTCATAGGCGTTCCTGAGAGGAGTGCAGACACGAATACTGTTTTCTTCCGTTTCTATGCTAGGTAACTTATTATTCACGAATTGTACATAAATATCGTTAATACTTTATTAATAATTTTGTAATTATTTCGTTAATAATTTGTTAATTATTTTGTTAATTATTTTGTTAATGATTTTGTTAATTATTTTGTTAATATTTTGTTAATAATGTTTATACTTAGAAATCAATCTTGCCATGAAAAATTCACTTTTCAGAAATGGTCGGCATATAGATATCAATATCCGAGATGCAGCAACAAAACTGCTTCCTTTGTTGGATAAGAATCAAATGACAACGATCTATATTCACGGGTACACAGAAAGTGTAGACGCCGAAAGCGTCGTAACGGTTACGGATGGTAAGTGCGTTTAAAAAACTAATTCATTATTCAATGATTAAAAAGTCACGTAAATAACAAGAGAAAGTTTCTTCCGTACATAACAGATTATCATACGCAAGGTAGCGCTGATAATATATCTGCAATCTTTGACAAACTTAAGTAAATATTTAAATCCGTTAATTCTTTTGTAACACCTTGTAAAGTTTCGGTGACATAAATCTAGAGTGACCTACACGTAATATTTTATGATAGGAATGTGATAGAAGAGAACAAATTTTGTTAAACTATCGAAGATAAATTCTGCCAGAAAGTTATGTTATAGAAGCTCGTGAACTGTTAGTTTCTTTGTAGAATACGTTAATTTTCCTACAATACACATTTAAAAGTGACAGCTTCAAGATCTTTTCTTAAGGATCTCTTGAGGCGAGAAGGTTCTACAAATTGGATTACCCACTTGTGCAAATTTTCGATAAATTTCACGCCAGACAATTATATTTCCCAGCTGTTGTGAACCAATAAACTTTGGAGGTTGCAAAGTTTGCATGGCGTATTCTACATAAAATCATTAGAGGAACTGGAATTCATTTTATTTCACCTTTCATAAATAAGTTCATGTTGCTCTTTGCAAGTATTTTCTACTAATCCCACTATCATCTCAAAACTATCAGAATATGCCTCGCAATTAGCTAATTTTAATGACATTTATAACGTTTGTTGCAGCCTACCTATCATCAGGTCTAACAGGAAACATTATCGCAATTGATTATAGACAGATTGCAGACCGAAATTATGTAGTCGGAGTGATAAATGTTGACAACGTAGGCAAGGCTATAGCTGGTGTTTTGAACAAATTGATAGCGGGAGGTTTGAACCCAAAGAAGATCCATATTGTTGCACATTCTTTGGGTGCACAAGTTGCTGGGCATGTAGGAAAATATGTGACCATAAAGATTCTTAGGATAACAGGTACGTATGAATTTACACATTTATATCAAATTGTTGGATAACATGATCAGCTTTAATAAAGTCTCGATTTTTACAACGCTGATTTCAGAAATTTGGGTACTTACTTAGGTCTGGGTCTGTATTTATTTTATATTATAACACGTTATTAATATTCTATTATTATTATTTTCATTATTCTTACTCTTATTAATATTTTATTCCTCGAAAAGTAGTCCATATAATACGTAAGTACCTAAATTTGTGAGTCAGTTGCATAATTTTAATTGCTAATAGTTATTAATAATTTTAAATGTTCACGTTGTTTCATGTCAGGGGCGGAAAGCAATAGGTAGGATTTGTTAGCCAAGTCTTGAATTAATCGGTGCACTGTACGATTTTTATGTTGAATTCTATATCAACTTTCTTAATGTTTCAAATTCTGTACAGGCTTAGATCCGGCTGGTCCCGCATTCTATACGGGAAGATATTTGAGGAAATCCGATGCTTTATTCGTCGACATCATACACACCGACGCAGGGATCTTCGGTGAAACACATAACGTTGGCACCGTCGATTTCTGGCCGAATAAAGGACACAGACCACAAGCTGGCTGTCCTTTAATATCTTTATCGCAGAAGGATGAAGGTTCGTTTATTTCGAAAGTGATATTTTTAACTGAATCAATGAAACATTAGTAAAATAAGATTTCAATAGGTAAAGTTAAATGAACAGTTCTAAATAATCGTACAAATTTTTATTTTCCAATATAATATTCCTAACAATATGAGTTAAATTATAATCAAGTAAATCATATGTGCTGCATTATAGGTAAATGTATATATTAACACTAGGTTCTCAGAACACGTAAATCTGACGCATATTGAATTTTATAAACACGTACGACACGAACGAACATCAATTTTCCTTGGAGCAATAGAATAAACCGTATAATAAACGTTCGTAAATCTAATGTTAATTGTGCTTATACGGATGTTGAAGCCAGGATAATCATAAGCTCAATAGTATTTCGAAATAAACAATTATTTTCTATTGTCGCTAACTACTAATTAATTGTTACAAATTGCAGCTCATTGCGACCATCATAGATCCTGGAGGTATTACGCAGAATCAGTTAGAAGACCAAACGCATTCTTGGCAGTCAAATGTGATAATAGCGAAGAGTTTGATAGTGGGGCATGTAGGCATGCGAACACTATTATTATGGGATGGAAAACACCGACTACTGCGTTCGTATAATATTATTTTCTTTTAATCTAATAAATTCGACTTTTAACAGTTTCAATTTCGCTACGTAGACATTTAACTCCTTCATTTATAATATCGTGTGAGACTCATGATAAAAATTTTGAACTGAACTTGACAAACATAAATGCTCTTTATTTTTTTTTAAATATAAATTAAGTGTTAGGTATCTATTATCAATCGTTAATTTTTGAAGTAAACGTACATATAGAATAAGTATCAGAATTTTTTCTTTTCCGAATAAATTATTAACGATAAAGTAGTTGTACCTATCATAGTTAAGAAATAAATCGTATGACAAGGGTTTAAGATCAATGTAACATGTGACAGTAATATTGTTGATCGTATGTACATATTTATTCCTAATTTTTCTTACTGATGAATAAACACGGTTATTTTTGTTTTCAGGAGCGGCACTTACTATCTTAGGACAAATTCAAAAAGTCCTTTCGGATTGGGAAAACGGGGAATATAGTGATACCGTTTTAATTGAAAATGTATTTATGTATCTAAGAAATTGCTTATTCACATATAAACCTGTAATTTGAACATTATAAAAAAGTAATAAAAAATACGGCAATTTGTATAGAGTCAATAAAAGAAGCATTTAAAGAATTCATTACGAGGTTATTACAATATAACTGATTCACTGACTGTTTACGCGATGGGCACAGATTTTACTAGTACGCAGCATTAATTATTTTTATTATTATCCATACGAATATACTATTATGTTTCTAACATAATTTTTGCTTGATAACACTAAACATGCTAACTAGCTGATCAAGTTACTTTTCTGTTCACAATGAGCGAGAAGAAAATTGACACGCCATTAGTAGCGTACTCTGTTTACTTTCTGTTTTTTAAACCGAGTTTTTCATTATCTCAGAATGTTTTGTAGAGATTACACTGCCTTGGTTGTTGATCTGCACTTCTATATCATTAATATTGTACAGAGTGTTATGAAAAACTGGTTTTAACGAGCGGCTTCATTAATGATATTTTTATACACATTAATTTCCTTCGTATATCGTGACTTTAGTTTTATATTAATTTACATTTAAAAAGACGATTTACAAAAATAATTTATATAAATTTTAATTTAAAAAAAATGCAAGCTTATATTTGCAAGCATATTGGCGCACAAATATTAGTAGTTTGTTTCATAGAGAAGTAGAGGTTATTAAATTATTCAAACATTTCTTTTACGATTTTTCTGCATTTTCATTTAGAATTATGTTATAGCTCGAGTCAATATCAGAACCAACCTGACCTAGATCATGTATAGAAGAGAACCATAATGTACTCACATGAAACGTAAAATATATTTATTATAAAATTTGTTTCGAGTCAGATTCATCAGACTGGTTCATTGGAGTCGAAGAGAAAGTTTCGCTATCCCAGGGTGTGGCGTATCTTATAATTGATGCTAAACAACAATTAGTAGCAGCCGGGGGATGGATAAATCTTTGATAATATTCAGAGGATTCTCTTTGGGTGCATAAATTACGGGCATGGTTGAGCATGGTTCCTCATCCCAGATTTATAACAACTGCAAGCAATCAAATTTGCACTGATAGTTATACAGACCTTATATATCGTGTGCAATACGTAATTAATATTAATAATAATTAATATATATCAATTGCGTGACCTTTCTTATGTTTTAATGAGGCAGAAAGCATTTTCTATTTTGTTAAAATAATTATTTTGTTTTGCTCAAACACTGAATAATATTAATAATTTACTTCGCAGCAGCGGACATGTTTTGAATAAAAAATATCGTTCTTATTTCTAGGTCGGGCAAGTACTATTTCCAAGCAAACAAAAGATCACCTTTTGCACTGAGAGAACAAAGACTGACTTACAACTCTGCACTGGCTTGACTCTTCTAACGACTATTTCTTTAATTTTTCTTTGTTTCTTTCCTAATGTATACTATACATATTGCAGTTTGAAATGATGTAAAAAAAACCAAAAAGAAAATAAATGTTTTAAATCTTCCTTGCAAATGTAAATAATTTCTCGTCATTTTTCCTATAATATCCATGATTACAGAAACTCAGTTTCTGTTAATTAATAGCGAAAATAATTGTATTTTAGATTTTCGACTTCTGTTACCATTTTAATTAGAAATGTAAAATGAATGTCCTCAACGTTCTATTATTTGTGTATAGTGTTTTACGCAGAATGAAGAAAGAATCAAATTCATGTGGAGAAAGATGTAGGCTCCAATTGAAAAAAGTAGTACAATTGCGAAATGTACGTGCATTATTACATGTTCCAAAAATCTATGATTGTGAGTATGTAGTAGCTTTGAACCATTCAGATTGGCCCTGTAACATTTTTTTCTAACTCCGGCTACAAATGAAACACGGCTGCACCCTATATATTGCTTACTGTAAACAAACGTGTGTGAAATTTTGAATACCTCCAGTGTACATAGTTTAATTATGTTAACGAATACATTATGCAAAATAAGACATACTAATATATCGATAAAGTACATTTTTTTACGACCGTTACGTCAGAGATAATACCGAAAAAATAGTGCAGTTGTGCATCAATTATCAAATCGGTATTCACTGACCGTTTGGCACAAGAAGGTGTATCACTCAGTTTGCTGTGACACTCTCATAATGGCAAATATGCACCTCTATAGTTTTGCCCTCACGATTTGTAGCTGTTTCGTAGGATGTAAGTATACAGTTCGAGAACATATACATTCTAATGAAAAAAGGGTTTATGGAAGTGTTAAATTTTTTTATTGAATTGTTTTCTTTTTACTTTTAAATATAGTAGGCACCTTTTACTGCTACAACATTGCTGACTGACGACGAATCGAGCTATGTTTACTGATTTATACGAAAAGAACGATTGTTTATTCATTTAATTCAGTTATAGCTTCTGAAACGATCTTCTTATTTTTAAATATGAAAAGTCTATAATACTCTATGCTATCGAAAACTGAAATCTTCTTCGTTCACAGTGTCAGCATTCTCTAAAGCGGTCGACGATACAGCATTACGTCTTTATTTCCGGTAATTATTTATACTTCTGTGTATATATATATATATTAAGAATATTCAGAATAATAATATACAGAATTATTATATGTACACAAATACAACGCAATAGCTACTAACAAAAAGATGGATTGACTCCTAAATAATTTTATTTGTATTTGATGTTGTTTTTAATTAAGCTCTATTACACGCACGAAAGGCAAGTGAACACTTAAGGGGGGAAATACCTTTAGGCGGATGAAAACGAGCTGATCTTTATGAATTTTTTTGTAAAGGAAAGGATTGTTTTACATTTTTGAAACTTTGGTTATCATTTATTATATTCTTTCTCTATTACAACGTATTTTTTGTTTCTCAAAATATTTAAAAATGGCGGAGTTATATCCCTGTTTTTCGCGAAGGTTGTGGTGCGACTTATTAAATGGTGTAAGCTCTGGCATTGGCTACATTGATTTGAAACAAACTAGCAAGACATATTTCAATAACTAACATTTACAGTTTGTAGATGAACCTAAAGAAAGTGAAAAATATTGAAAATTGAAAAAATGGCACGCTTTTAAACAGAAACTTTGAATTTTACATGAAATTTTCGCTATATTTTGCTATAAAAAGATAGTTTTATTTACAATTTATTTCATATCTCTAGGTTCATATAGAAGACAATATTGTTATAGATATGGGTGCAAAATTTCAGCAAGATTGATTGAGTAGTTTTTGAGTTATTGATTCCACCGATTTCGAAAATGTAGTTTTGAGATAAACACTTGCTTCTTGCTTTTCGAGCCTCTTTGATAGTTAATGAGGTGCGTCGCTCCTGTCGAATTACTCTCTGTTCGTCAATTTTGTCGGCGTATGTTTTTGCTTGTTTTTCAATTACAATATTCAAAGCACTCATAGTTCTTAAAACTGAAGCATATCCTTCGTTAAATAAGCCAGCTGCCAAATATGCTGCAATTTCAATAATTTTTATTCCTGAGTGCAGGTGATTTCGAGCGAAGCGCCAAACAGTTGAGTTGAAACTCTCGTTATTGTTCTGAGTATGTCCGCCCAAGCACCTCTCAAGTAGATTCTCTTCAGATAAATCTTCGTAAATTCGTAGGATGTGCTTCTGCACGTCTGGATGCAGTGGTGCAGGATGTTCTATAAGGTCCAAATTTGCTCCTGTAGCTAGAGCTTTCTGCCACTTGCACCAGCTGTTATTTCCTACCGGGCAGTATTCGTGCCTTGGATTTTCTTTGGCGGAGCATAAGTGATAATACGAGGCCATTATAGCTTTCTTCATATTTTCCACACTATGAATATTTCTTCGTATGGCTAAGCCATAGTATGCGGTGAGTTTCCTGATAAGCGCATCAGTTAGCTTGCCTTTTCCACGGAGGTTTTTTGTTTTTTTAATATTTCGAAGCGGGCTGTATGATAATTTTTCTTGTATAACGCAAACAATGTAAAGTAACATGTTTACAATGATTGAAAGGAGGGAATTATGAAAGGCGGATCCTCCGCTTCGAGCACGTGAATATATACCTGCGGTGGGCTACCGCCTATGAGTCCCGATAGCATCAGAAGGGCTCCGAATTTCGCTTTAAAACTTTGGCACCATACTCTTAAGATGTTATACTAACATTCTATAGAAAAAAAAATATTGCGATTTTTTAAGGTTCTAAAGGTATTTCCCCCCTTAATTGTACAATTATGACTCAGAAAATTTGTTCTTCCAGGAATAACACTTATATACAGGTCAATGCCGCGAACGCTACTCTACTTGTACCGCATCTGAACTTGACTGAAAAGACGCTGTTGCATTGCCACGGATATGAACAATCAACAGATTCTGAAACTGTTAAGAAGTTAATAAATGGTATATATGTCAATTAACATCTTGACCGCCAAATCATAATATGTCACCGAGAAAATTAGGTTTGAAATTTATGTAAAATATTAGGTCACTCTTTTTTAAGTTTAATACGTTTACTGCTACGAAAATTTTGAGCGTTTTGTATTCTGCTAGTTATTTTTTCATAAGAAAGGCAAATAGTATTAGAGATAATTATTAATGATCAAAGTGCTCATATTACACTAACATCTAGCTACTCATGCTACCAAATATTTTTATTCGACATTAATTTTCTTATTGTAATTGTTCTCGAGCAATTTGAATTCGAAGATCGAATTCAAACAGAAATTCTTAATCTACCTTCTGTTTTTGAAACTGTTGCAGATTACTTACTCGGTTTCACTTACAATATCATAGCAATAGATTACAGAAATATTTCAACGGCATTCTATCCAACGGCGGTTCTGCTGTCCAATAGTGTGGCTGAAGTTGTAGCTAACAGTATAATTGATATGAGGAACGCCGGGGTACGCGAAGAACAATTTTTACTAACCGGATTTTCATTAGGTGGTCAAATTGTTGGTGCCATTGGACGCAATTTAAATTTCACACTCCCTGAAATAATAGGTACACCGAATTGCTATTAACATTTCTCATTAATTTCAATTGAACTTATTTAACTGATTTTGTTAAAAACTTTGTTTTATAAAAGCTAAAAAGTGATGAATTGAAGTGACGAATTGAAGATAACCCCAATTCAAGACTTGCCAAATAACAAAAGAAAACATGAACAAAATAAAAGGCAACTTTTATTGTTAAGGAATTAGTGGGAGATCGTATTCGGTTAACAAACGTTAATGTATCCAATAATACAGGCATTTTTTGTTAAATCCGTGTATAGAAATTCACAACGAGACATATTTATACTTCAGAAATTTGATTTCAAATTTTTGAGTGACATGATATTTTAAGGATTTAATAATTCATTACATAAAGAATATCTTGTATTTTATCTGCTTAATCGTTTAGAAATGAAAAGAAGTTCATTTGAGAAAGAGAACACTAATATCATACTATTAATATTGTCTTATTCATTCATCACTGATTCAGAATCTACAATCATGATCTGGCATTTTTTTAATCACTTCTTGTTACAGCAATAGAGCCTGCCGGGCCTCTTTACGGATTCCCTGAAATGTCCATATCTGCTAGTAGCGCGAGTTGCGTCAAGTGTATTCACACTGATATGTATCTTTATGGAACTTCTTACGCCTGTGGTCACATAGACTTTTATCCCAACGGTGGGACTAGAGAACAACCTGGATGCAAATTATTCTCATTATGCGGTGCGTGAAATGCCTTCTATCAAATTCAATTTCAGACGGTATAAATATACTGTGGAACAAATTTGAATTTTTTTTCTGTCTTACAATAATAACTAGGTGGTTGTTATAGAGTTCCTTGTCCTAAATACGAATCCGAAAACCAAATTGCTGGGTCACGTCCAGTTTTCAAAAAAATGAGTTTTTGTAAAAACGATCGAATTTTTCAGAGAAATAAGCGTTACGTGAAAACTAAGAACGATAGGCAGTTAAAATTTATCATAAAAAATGGAGGAAAGTTGCCCGAATATGTAGCTATAGAAATGTTTAAAAGTTTAAAAAAGGGTAGATGCGCGTACTTTGTACGCACTTCTGTTACATTACTACGAAAAGTGGGTTGGCTAGCACGAATTTGCTATCCACCATTGGATTCTGCAGACATTTCTGAAGAGAATTCCCCGCAGAAAACGTGGGAACGGTTTTTCTTTTCGAATAGGTTAAGAAAATCTCCGTGAAGAGCGCGTGCACAGAGCTTTGGAGCCACACAGCCATCGCTCGCTGGCCAAGGCTATTCAGGGCCGTGACTTCGCTCTGTATAGACCTGGACCTCGGTCACTTCTTATATGTATATATAATATTTCATCGTTTTATACATTTTTATAATAATTATGAGAAAGCTTTTAATAGTATAGTATTTACTGATAGTATCATCTCTTTTATAGCTTACCCACCCACACTTTCACTGGTCCTCAAGATGTTATCATTGCATAAGAATATTGCTTTTTGTAGAGTTTCTCACCGTAACGGACGGTGCCAATCTTTTGTTTCTAAAAAAAATTAAGACTCTTTGAATTGCTTAATATATCTCACGGTTTCTGTGGCAGAACGCAGCACTGACTAAAACATTGTACAGCAATCCGGAGAATTTCAAGAGCTGTAAATCATGTGTTGGAAGCAGAAGTTAAGGCATTGTATTTCTGAAATGTGTGTTCATTCTATATAATTAATTAGGTCTATATAATTCATTATCTACTATCTGATGTAGCATATTCTAAAGACACATATAATTTTTATACGTATTAATCGCATGCAAGATATTTTAAATAAAAATTGCTTTTCTAAAAGGAAAAAACATAATTGTAATCAATTTTTTAAATGGTACATCTAATGATATCATTCTGAATTCAAATAGAGTATTAAATCTGACGTAAAGAATTATTATACGAAGCACGATCTACAATAGATGTTAACTGAAGTATTTTAAAATTAACACTAAAACTACTGAGTATACCCAAATATTCGTTATAGTTCCAGTAAACTTAATTAATTTTCAAAAATATTCCAGATATCTAATACTTTCAAGATATTAATAATTGAAAAATAATAAATTTATACCAGCCATCTTAGCTGATTTGATAGTTAAAATTCACGGCCCTGAATAGCCGTGGCAGGCGAGCGATGGCCGTGTGGCGCCAAAGCTCTGTGCACGCGCCCTTCACGGAGATTTTCTTCACCTGTTTGAAAAGAAAAACCGTTCTCACGTTTTCTGCGGGGAATTCTCTTCAGAAATGTTTGCAGAATCCAATGGTGGATAGCAAATTCGTGCTCGCCAACTCACTTTTCGTAGAAATGTAACAGAAGTGTGTACAAAGTTGAGGCAACCACTTACCAATTGAAAATATGGTTTTCGCTAAGGCATAGGAGTATATGTCCTTACTTGCAAAGTTATGTAACTTCAAAATCGAAGTATAATGTGATAATACTAGATAAAGTGTAAATAATATTATCATTTCAACAGATATTACTAATTCGTGCAGTCATAGCAGAGGTGACACGTATATGGGAATATCAGTGTTAAACCCGAAAGGTTTTCTCAGTGTAAAATGTAATAGTTGGGAAGACTTTAAGGACGGAAGATGCGACAGGTCCGTTATAATCCCGATGGGAAAAGCTGCACCGTGCAATGTGTTAGTATAACGCTTCTTCATTTATAATGTACTGTTGAAATTAATCGACACTAACTAACGAAAGTTGAAACAGTTGTCGTAAATATGTGATATTTTTCTTCTGGAGTGACTGTTAATTTAACTGTTAAGCTGTGCGTCAACTGTTTTCGTTCGTAATTTTTAGTATATTAATCTATATATTTTATTATTTTTTAATGTGATTATGATTTTTTAATATAATTTTGTGTTTTAGCACAGGTAAATTCTACTTGCAGACAGGATCATCGTATCCTTATGCGTTGGGATTGAAGGGAACAAGATACCAATCTGAATAAGGCTGCTTTCGGTGCATTTAACTTTATATCAATTCCTATATTGTTCAATTAATTAGTTTGTCAATTTCAGTTTTTCCTTTTGTTTCTGTTTCCACTAAACAAATGCATGATCTAACTTGTTTACTTTTATTTCTTAACCACTTATTTGACTGGTTACGGTAAGAAAAATGTCGGAATGATAGTATAAAGCATTGTAAATATTGAAATTATAAAATACGATCATAGAAAAATTGTTTTTTTCTCACCGATTCTACTTTGTTCACCTTTCACCTTCTTTTTTCGTAATTTTTAATTTAGAAAAGAGCTTTTAACTTCATACGATTATTATAACGTTCTAAAGCATATGTAAAAAAATGGGCAATAAAACTGAGTCTTGTTACAAAGTAAATATATGATTTTATTAGAAATGTATTATCTTTTTTTTGTAAATAGTAATAAAAAATTTAGAATTTTATTTATATCCTTCAGTGACTTTATAGTTGCCATATTCTTGAATTGTGTCATTCATATAAATATTTTTGTAAAGAATCTTTACGATTCAGTAATGAATTCCCAAATATATTAAAATATATTATAAACATGTATTAAAATTGATAAACATAAATATATTATAAATATATCATAAACATACATTACAAATATATTATTCAAATAGCGAGAACATGTTTAAATTCCATATAAAGAAATAACTGATTAAAAAAAAAGGCACCGAATTAATTTCTTATTTTGAATATACAGGGTGTTCACGCTATTACTAGCCAGCGTTTTCCTTGTAAATAGTAAATATTAGAAAAAAATGGAAGAAGAAAAAGTAGTGTTACACTCGAGGTGTATTCATAAATAAACAGGCGATGAAGATGCGTCCCAAAATATAATTTACAACCACGCAGCTAGCGCAGAAAGAGTAAGGACGTTTCCCGAAATCTCCTTAATTTTTACGGCCTCCATACCTGGGTCATAAAACACCCGGTCACCGCATGCGACGCAACAGCTACTTGCGACTATACCATCATAAATCACCATAACGACGAGATGAGACGAAACCAGACTTTGACAATTTTCTACCTTAAGAAGTAAAATAGACACACCCACGACCAATAACAAAATACAGCTTTCCTCCATCTAAAACTACAATTGACCAATACGAAAAAACACGAGGTTACATAAACTGAAAATGAAACACGAGGACCAGACAGAACGCAACGAGACGACAAAACATTAAAGATCCAATAATTCCATCAGTATTTGTACCAACAAAGTTCAATTTGTATAAAATAAAGTGATAATCATTATTTCTCGCCTTGTCTTCTTCCTTCGATCGGGACAAGAACCTTTCCGTAAATTGCGGCAACGTAACAGTAGTACCGTTTTTTAGACGCAACAGAATGGCGTATGTAATCCTTTTGGGTTTATACTATTTCGTTAGATATGAACGTGACCTTTATTTTTTTTAATGGAATGCTGCATATTTTTTTATATTACATAAAAGCGTGTGTCTAAACGAATTCATTCGTATACTGCACAGTGATTTTCAAGGTCATGCAAGGTCAGAAATGGAAGAAACATTTTCAATGTTTCTACTTAAGTACTACTTTTTTCTCTTTCATTTTTTTCTAACATGTACGATCTACAAGAAAAACGCTGGCTAGTAATAATGAAAACACCCTGTGTACATGCGCCAATTTAATGCACTAAGTTGATTTTTCAAACATATAACATAGAGTAGTCTTCAACGATAATGTCAACAAACAACATGACTCGTATTGCTTTAAAAAATTCAGTTTAACTGACATTAACGATAAACCCCTTGTACTGCAACGTCATCCATTTCACTTGTCAAACAATTGACACTAAAAGATAGGATTACGCACGTTTTACAAATGGAGGCAATAAAAAAATTCATTTTGAATTTATTTAAATTGTTTATAAAAATTAGAAGTACAGCACGTATTGTTCTGTGTAATTTCAATAATGTATATTTGGAAAATAAAGTATGATAATAATGAATAGAATAAAGAATATAAGATATTGAAATTTTCTGGTTGCAAGAATATTTAGACAACTATTTGAGTATCATATACCCCGCACACGTAACAAATTGTTATTAAATGTTATCGTAGTTGTGGATGATGCACTTTTTTTATATTAATTGTCACTCAACAGATTTTTAAATCAGTATGTTATTTATAATGGAAATATTTATTGCAATATCTCGAATGCACTTCACGTATATGCAAATACATGTGATCGTAGGAGGATAGTTTCTGTTAATGAATTAATGACAATTATGGAGAAAAAACTTTTATAAGGGTAATAAATTTTATTTTATATTAAGGTCTTTTTTAAATTTACAATGATGTTCACAATATCATCAACACCTTTTTAATAGAAAAAAAACATTGAAATTAGGAATAAACAACTATTAACTACAAACTTGTTATGTAAATCGAAAACATTCTTGTATCAATGGTGTTAGACAAATGTCAATATTTGAAGAGGCGTGAATATGCAATACTTGTGACACAGATGGTGTCAAATAAATAATGCAATTACCCATAAATTACCAAATTGGATTATATATACCGAACAGACTGCCAAAAGGTTCAACATTCAGTTGTTTATTCTGTTTGACTAAAAAAAATGGCAAGCAATCAGTTGTTCATATTCGTCTTCGTCTGCAGCTGTTTGTTAGGATGTAAATATTTTGAAGATAGACATATATTTTTATCAATAACGTTAAAAATGTGAATTTTTTAGAATGAGTCAGTCATTAGTGCAATTACTTCCTACTTTTTGCCATAATACAGCAAACGTTTATAATATATTATGGCAATTATAATTCTAATCTGCTTTGTCCACAGCTGCAGTCCATTCATTGTTCGTCGACGTTAAACTACGTCTTTATTCGAAGTAATCATTTTTACTTTAATATGATTCAGTATTTAAAAGAAAATTTGAAGTGTAATTAATTAATACTACGATCGTATTCGATAAAATTTTAATTCACAGATTTTTCTATTAGGGACCTCTCGTACGTAGAAGTTAAGGCTAAGGATGCAGCACTACTTGTACCGAAGTTGAACCTGAGTACAAAGACTATAATACATTGCCATGGCTATACACAATCAGCAGATGATTCGGCCGTTATGGATTTAATACACAGTGTGTACTGGTTATAATTTAATAAGAAAACAGAATATTTATAGTTCACTGTCGATTTTCGAAAAAGTCAAATGTTGTAATCAAATCGTTGAAAATTGAAGTCGTAAGAGTTGAAAATTCTCGACTTAGAACCGTAAATTGTCAGATGCTATTTTCAATTAGGTTGTTTTTAGAATTGTCTCGTCTTTTAATGGTATGTAAGTACGAAGTAGAGTCTTACGAAATTGCCACAATTTTAGTATTATTCACGATCTTCGCACTGCACAGAGAAAACAGCAATGTGATCTTATTTTTGGCCTAATTTCAATTTTGAAATTCTTGCAGATTACCTAGCCGGTTTTGACTATAATATCATAGCAGCAGATTACCGAGAAGTTACATCGAATGATTACTTATCGGCAGTTGTATTGCTCGACAAAGTATCTGACATCATAGCACAGAGTGTAGATACTTTCATTGCATCAGGAGTCAATCCAAAACTCATTATACTTTCTGGACTTTCATTGGGTGGTCAAGTTGCTGGTCAAATTGGACGTAAAACGAAAACGAAGATCGAAGAGATAATTGGTATATGGAATTCTTTTTAACGTTTTTAATAACATCTTATAGACACTTCCGAATCTTTAAAGACAAGTATGATTTTCAATTAAGTAATATTTATCCAACGGTAAATGAAATTATATATTTATCGGGGGTGTATATTTACTGTAAAAGTTAAAATCTCTCTCTCAAAAAAAAAGTAATTTTTTTTTATTCAATGAACTGAAAAATAATTACATTTATTAAATTTAATTTCAACCCTTTGCCATGTGTATGATACAGTATTATAAGAAGTTAGTAAGAGTTGATAATTATATATTAATTGTTTTAATAAGTTAGAAAATACCACTATGGTTCATGTATCGTTCAAAGTTTTTAATCTTAATGTACAATATTTATATTCCGGAAATTATATTTAAAGTCTTCGGAATGACATGATATTATAAGGATTTAATAATCTTTTACTTAATATATATATATAAATATCTTGTACTTTATTTACTTAATCACTTAATCATTTAGAAAAGAAAACAAGTTTATTTGCGTCACATAATACTAGTAACATATTATTAATATTATCTCATGAATCTATGATTGATTTGTCACATTTTCATTGCAGCAATGGACCCTGCTGGACCTTTATACCAATACGTTGGGCAGTCTGTGTCTGCTACTGACGCGAATTGCGTTAAATGTATTCACACTGACGCAGGTTACTATGGAACTACTCACGCCTGTGGTCACTTAGACTTTTATCCGAACGGTGGGACTAGACAGCAACCTGGATGCAGCGCGTTCTCGCTCAATGGTAAGTAAAATGTCCTTTAATCCTTCAGGTCATAAATAAAAACTTTTGGGAAAAATACATTTATCTCCACAGTATACGTTAACTAACGGTATCATTTTTACCGAAAACAAATATTTTTATAAAACATGCTATTCAGACTGTAAAAAAAAGAGGGAACGATTGATATATCGAGTTTCTATTGATGATCTTGCGGTTGGGCCACTACTTCACGTTTTACTGACATTGAAATATGTGGATTGAAGACGATGCCATCGAACAACAAAGGGTTAAATTCAACCTCTTTCAGTACTGATTGATTGAGTTTTTCGAAATCAATCAGTATATGAACATATAAGCTAATTTTCAGTTTTAACAGATTTGCCGAATACGTGCAGCCACGAGAGAGCTGAAGTTTATATCGGAGAATCAGCAAGAAATCCGGATGGTTTCCTCAGTATAAAATGCAATAGTTGGGACGACTTTAAGGCCGGAAAATGCGATAAATCCGTTATAATCCCGATGGGAGAAGCTGCACCGTGCAATGTGTTAGTATAATTAGAAATTAACGCATACCAACGAACAAAGCACAAACACTGAAACAATTCTTATAAATATTATATAATATATCTCTTATCAAGTAACAATCTTGGTGGCTAAACTATAAATAAAGATAGAAAGCTATCGCCTCTTATCGTTCACTAATTAATGTATCTCGAGTAATTTTCCAGTTCCTTAAAATTGAGAAATAGAATTCCATACATCAGACAATGAAATATGCGATGTTTGGTAATCATTTAATTAAATTTTACAGCCACAATTACCGTATTAATCTATGTATTTTATGTTAATATTTTGTGTATTGATAAATGATTATCTGTTCTTTTCAGTACGGGGAGTTTCTATCTTCAGACAAATAGTAAGAGCCCGTATGCAAAGGGAGCTGCTGGTACAGTTTATAGTGGCTGATCTAATTCAATCAATTTTATTCCTCTTTTGGTTTCGTAATATAATACAATTTCAATTATATGTATGAAAATAGTAAAAATAAAGTGTTTTAATTGTTTTCCGCAAATTAAAATAAGTGATTTTATTTTAAATGCACCATTCCCTCCGTGTAACTAATAATTCGGAGATTGAATGCTAGAAATATATGGTACCATACTTTTTCATTTGATATTTTCATAAATATATACAATTTACTAGTAACCTTCAAAAAGAAGCGAGTACTTTAATCAAGCTATAATATGTTCGATTGCCGTGATAAAAACCTGTAAAACAAAGGTACGCTATTATAATGAATATACTTCGGTCGGAGGGGCAATCTTGGAAGCGTCTCTTTGTCTTATAAGTATAATAGATTGAACTAGAGTAGTTATATGCAATAAATAGGTATCAGAAATGACGTAGAAAATGGAACAATACATTTTACGTTAATTTTGTTCGTTATTTACTAGTAAAGTTCTTCACGTCTAATAACTTTGTAAAATATCGTATAAAATTTTGTTCTTTCTGGACGATTAAATTTACATTCTAACAAGCTTTTTGTTTGCATCATGAAAAACACTGGCGTACAAATTTGTGCCATCTTTTACGGACAATTATGAATCGCTATCACTGACAAGCGCTTCAACTAAATATTTACATACATTTTTTTTACATATTATTATAGTATTTTCGATGATTTCTACATCATTTATATTTCGATCACAGTTTATTTATTACTCAGTTGATTCTACTTTTACAGGTTACTCTTTTCATGAGCTATAAACAAATTTAATTTATGGGTTATAAGAAATGTAGGTATTTGTGAATCGTAGTAATTTTATAAGAAATTAATTTTTTAATTTAAAAGTAATTTAATTAAAAATGTAAGTTTTTGTATAACCTATTTTTAAACGAAGAAGAAGAAAAAGTATTAATAACGCGTGAAGATGTCATATCACTGCAATAAATAATAACCAGTGAGCCAGTGTTCATCGAGTTTGGGTTTAATATTGTGACAAAATGGAGTTCGATATCATACCTTTCTCTTTGATCGAGCCATTCTTTGATCCCTCACATTTTCGGCTTCACCAGGTGGTCTTTTGCCCCATACCACTACAGCTATGCTAGTATAGGTGAACATGAGGACCATTATTGGTATCACGTATTGGAGAATCAATAAGGCTATGGAGTAATAATATCTGGAACACACATAACAAGATTATTTGCTGCTTTACACGGAACAATCGTTCAATAGTACAAAGATGTTTGGAAATCATTCTTTACATGTTTATTTTGAATATTCGTCAGAAGAATGCAGATATTCTGCATACTTAAAGAATAATAAAGCAACTGAAAAATAAAATAATTGAAGAATAAAACAAGTGACAAATAAAGCAATTGAAAAATGACGTAATTGATGAATTGAAAAAAATAACAATTGAGAAATAGGTTAACTTCAAATTCTCCTTGTATATTTAAAACACTAATACATCGATTGTGAGAAACATAGAGCAGATCAGATTAGCTGATACAATTTGGAAAACGGTTCCTCGCGTTTAGGATAATTAGAAATCTAGAATAAAAATTCGTTCCAGAGAAGCTTTGTTCTCGAAATGACTGTTCGCACTTGGAAACTCATTTAACCATTTACAAAAGGACCCCGCCGACTCATGGCATTAAGATTTTATTTATAGGTCATTACTTTGGCAATGAACAAAGAAATTAATTACGACAGAAAATAATGCACAATTATTCGTATTTCTAATAATGTTATCATCGAAGCATAGTTTCACCTTGACTGTACATTGAACACACGACGCTCACAATGTTTTTCGGGTGTTAAGAGTCATACGCAAAGTTTATGAAACTAATTGAAGCACGATAAAAATATTATATTACTCGTACGCGTACCGAAACCAATTAAACGGGAATACTTAATAACGTTTATCGTGTTATGATAAAGTAGCGACGAAGGGAACAAAATTATTTTAACATGGTTTCTTTATGCAGAAAGGTTTGTCTCTGATTTTCGTATTTTTGTACGAGAAAGTACACCTTTTTTTAAATTGTAAACCCGACCTGCTGTACCTAGCCAAATTATCCTAATTACCTGTTTTCTGCAGATGGCCAAACTTCTTCGCAAACATAATGTTCGCATACTATGTGTTGAATCGTCGGCTGCGTCAGTTTCGACACCACAGCGATCGGGGATGATATTGCTGTTGCTAGCATCCACACGGCGAGAATCAAAAACAGAGCCTGTCGTTTGCTTAATTTCGGCTTCAATGGCCACATGATGGCTATATAACGGTCTATACTAATTGCTACAAGAGTATACGCGCTCACCAAGACTGACACTGCCTGCAATGATAATAAGAGATTTTGTCATCGCTCAATTTACATACAAATTATTAAGAATGCGAATAAGCTTCAAGTAAAATTTATTGCTGAATATAATTTAAGGAATTTGTAAATGAATAGAACGCAGCCGTCCATCTCTTGTACACAAGAAGTTAACAACAACGATATTATTTATCTTTTAATAAGAATATACAAGGATTATAAAGTAGATTTATATGTATATGCATTCGATGGAACATAGTTGAAGGTAAAATTTGATTCGGAATTCAGCGTGGTACTCGAAATAGTATTACTGTTTTAATATTTTAACCCCTTGGCGTCTTATTTACTTTCGCTACTAAACTCGTGTAACATTTTACTATCGATAAGTTGGAAGAAACGCAAAGATATTTTTCATTTCACCGCCTGTGGAAATTTATTTTGAATAAATTGCTAATAGCAAGATAGTTTTTTGCGCTGAACTGTAAACAATGAACAACTTTGGTTCTTATTAAATTAATATGGAAATCTTCATCACAAGTCTTATCCGTCATTGTATGGTTAAGGGTTAACAACAACAACAACTATAACAATAATAATAATATTTTATTAATAAAAGTTATGTAAGGATGTGTGAATATTTTTTTCTCCGTTGTATATAAAACAGCGATTCTCTTGTAACATTTCTAATACACATCGAGCAGAAAAGGTGTCTCCCATATTGATGAGTAGAAAACACAGTCAAGCTTGCGACATCAAGGAAAATACTCTATATGTCATGTTATCCCATAACTAATGAGGTGTACGAAAGTGTAAACGATGTCGTCCTCGGATGAATGAGTGTTCTTTATCTTGGATTTGAGTGATAAATGTTTAAGACGGATATCCAATCCAAGTTTGAAGTATTGGAATCGATATATAGCTTTCATAAACCAGCCGATTTTTGGGCGATGAGATGTCGTTCATGTATGCATCGCATGTTTCAAAAGTTTTCTATACTGGCAGCTTGAAAAAAAAGTTTTGCAGCTGAAAACATTAACACCTTTTTTTATAAAAATCAACTATTTCTCTGTCTGACCGTTCTGACCGTTTTTTTCCGTTCTTCATCGCTTTTGTTTTGTAGTACTTTCGATAACAGCGATACTCGTACAAATAAAGGACTTTTCAACGCTTTCGGTTTCACGTAACTGCGGTAGTCTTTATTATTCTGCTATGAGCGATAATTTGTTTTACCGCTTTTAACGTAATTTTATGATTAGAATGTGCAAAGTATCTAAATATATGCATTTTGTTTTATTCTTATCAGTACGGACAGCACTCAGTTTACCGTTTAATTATACATATTGTGGTATTGTAAGTAACAGTTACTTAAAAAATATATATATTTCTATACTTTAATATGCATAAAAAAATATATGCTGTACAACAAGAAAATTGGTTCGCATTCAAACGATTAAATACGAAACTTCTATTATCAGAATCAACATACTTTACGCAGTGAATACACGTAGGTACTATGTTTCACACGAAATTTCGTCACGATGCTGTATTTTAACGGAAGCTGATCTTAAGCTGCTGGTCAAACATTTTGATTGGCGATAAGTCACATATTTCGGTCAGCGTATATCGGTCGCAGGTACATGAAACTGGTCTTGGATGTACATGTAGCTTCTACCAGAGATCCATACACAGGTTGTTCCAAAAGTTTCAGGAATCCACCATTTCTAGCTTTATGTTATTTTCGTAAAGCTTCAGATTTTTAAGATTAGAAGATACTGTCACAACGCAATAGAAAATGTATTAACACTAAAACTACCGAGCAATTAAATTGACCTTTTGAAATTCCTCTATAGAGACTGCAAGAATGCATGTATTGAGACTTTAATTGATTTACAATTTAGTCTGCGTGTTGTTAAATCAATTTCTTGAATAACTTCTCAAACAAACATTTAGTATCTTTTTAATAATTACAAACAGAAGAAATTAGGAATGGGTCATTTTGAAACGTCTGGTAGTTTTAGCGTTAAATATGTTAGTTTCTTTTGGAACGTATTTCGTTTTAGAAATACAGTTTTGTTGTTTTATTGGGAGCGATAGCTTTGAAGAGAACTTTGTATGGAATAATGAGATAACGAGATTGAACTGTTCAGATTATGTTTCTATCTTTCTATTGTTCTACCTTTCCAATTGTTCCGAGAGTAACTTTGGAACCAGGAAATCAGTTATTCGAATTTAAATAGGAATCGTGCTATTACGAGAATTCTATTATGACCCATTCCGTTGAACAATTTCCTTTATTCAATCTTACATTAAAATCAAGTGTTAATGTTGATCGGGAATGTTTTAAAAAACAACAGAATCATTATTTCAAATTTATTTGTGACTTTTCTCATATTTTCGAGAAACTTTTACTGCGACTCACGTAACAGGCAATTACTTGCTCTTTGTGAATGCTACGCCAATGCTACATCTCCACACGAAATCGCAGATCAACGACGAATTTCTAGAAAACTCGAACCTTTGGTAAAGTAGATTCCGCTGATGTCGCCGTAACATGGTTACACAAATTTCCTGGTAATCTGCCGGTCAAAAGCCGCAAGGGACGAGAATTTGGGACGCCCACGCCGGGATTTTATATTTTGCAAACCGCATTCGAAACAAGCTGTGCATTGACAGGCAAAAATTGCTAGACCAAGGAAATCGATTTACTCGAAGAATGCAGGTGCTACGTCGATATTTAATTTAATTGACAAACGTTTCTTAACGCTTGTTTCGATAAAACAAAATCCACGTTTAAATAAACACCGAAGATTTCAAATTTAAAGATTTGGATCTGAAATATAAAAATAACTTTATCGTATGCCCACGTACAGTAATGGTATTAAACTCGCCTCTTAATACTTTAGCAGCCGTTGACGTAGATCTACGTTATTTTTAATTTTATTACTGGTCGTTACGTCTCCTCGTTTTTATGATCTAAAAATGATTAAATTTCGATTGCTTAAAAGTAAGTTAACACGTTGACTGCCACAAAGAAATTTAGAGCTTTATGTGTTGCTTATTATTTTATAGTGACGGTGAATAACAATAACTATTATCTGGTATTGCAACTCATACATTACACTATTATTATCAACGTTACTGAACATTTCCATTCGTCATGAATTGTCTGATAAATTGTAATTGCGTTCACGTAATTTGGCGTTTATTTATCCATAGAAATTATAATATCCCATTAATTAATTTTACTTATCATTCGTGAATTTCTCATCAATTCAAATTAGTATATGTCTCGGCGTCTGTCGTTATTATCGTGCTCGAACAAATCCCTCGGACGATTCTCCTCGAATGTAAAAAAAAAGAGAATAATTTCACGCACAGTCCGGTGATTTGTTAAACTTTTTAACTGTCGACCGATTTTCCGTCGATGCCTTCATGTTTGACGAACGGTACGCGCGATATTAAATCCGCGGCCAAGCGGAACTTGTCACGCGCCTCTTTTTTTTCGGAGTTTGTTAGCGGCGATCTATCGATCCGAGGTTAATAAATTGTCTGTCGTACCAATACACGACAGCCAGTGTCTCTTAGTGATCAGTAATTACGCTCGTTAATGATGTGATCGTAACTGAAACTGCATTTTCGTTTGCTGCGCGCAGCTGGTCATCCGTTGTTCATGAACTGCTAATTGCGTTTGGCTAATTCGATCAGATTTCTACGAACGATTCGCTGGCCAGTTGTACTCGTGATTTCGCACAGGGCCAATGGAAATCACCCTTTTTAGCGTTGTCGGCATTATACGGCGTGCCGACGCGTTCAAGTATTCGTAGGAAACGGATTGCTGTTTATATATTGGTAACGAAAAGTACTGTGCCGTTTGCAAATATTTGATCAGCCATTTGATGAACAACAAACACTCGATTCCTTTTTGTTAGCGAATAACGGAGTTGCTTTGTGAAGGAGTTTGATGATTCGGACAGGGAGAGGACAGGTCAATTTCAGAAGAACCTGGACATTTGAATGAAACTATAAAACAATAAGAATCAGAACAACATTTTTTGTTGTAAATTATTTTATAACCAAATTTTATAAGCAAAATAATTGTATTATTTTCATAAATGAATTTAATTGAACCTGCTTAACAAGCTTGAGTTTGTATTATAATAGTTGTGCTATACAGAGTTGCGAGAAAATTAAATAATGTAAATAGGAACGTTCGAGATGAAATAAATCGTACGACAAAGAATTAATATTCTTATCAGGGAAATTAATGTTAGAACTACCAGATGGGGTAAATCATTCTTTTTAAACTTCTTTTTCTACGGTCTTTGGAAGTTTATAGTTATCGAACAAGTACAAAAGCTTTTCTGAGGAATTCTTGAATAAATGGATGTAGTAATGGATGAACTAAAAAATTAATACACTTTCGTTGCTTCTTTAAGTAAATACGAACGAGTCAATGATAACTTCGTAATTCTAGTGCTAATATTGACGATTTGTGGAGCGTACTCGCGCACAGTTGGTTCGGTCGAATGCGAGTGGTATAATTGAATGAAAGTTATTTTTCACGAAAAAATAGATTCCAAATGAAAAATGGCAGTTCCTCGTTTCGAAGTTCGTTTTCGAGGAAACCCAGATTGGAAGTTCGTCGAGTTCTTTTTATTTGGTTAACTGTTAACGGAACACGTGTACAATTGATTCTAGTACGTAGCTGCAATAAAGCAGTGGAACCATAAGCAACTACACAAATATTTTCAATTGATGGTGCGAGTAGAACGTTAAAAATTATATTTCGACGATCGTTCCATTTTTAACCGAAACAATCGTCAAAGAATAGGATTGCATTTGACAGAAGTTAGCAATTAGCGGGCGCTTAACGTATACACCGAAATTGTTTATGCCATGGTATTTGCTTGAGTTTCTAAATTAAGTGGAGCTATAGATGATCAATACATTTCAATGGGCTAAATGGGAAACTGAAGTTTCGAACTCACTAGTATTGTTTCGTGAAACTGTAATGTTGCAAATGGGCTTACGGCAATACTAGGGATTCAAAACAATCTGGTGATACACCTGAACCATTAATGATACAATATTCTAGATAAGAAATATTATCGAAATAATACGAAGAATTACGTTTAGAAATTTTTAATGGAATCATTCATACAGAAGCATTATAACAAAATATATTCCTAAAATTAAATTGCAATGCTTTCGTTTATAAACCCAAAAACAGATAGCGTGCTATTAATTAATATTATCGATAAATGAACTGCGAATCTTTATGCGAATAAACATTTCCCAGGTAATCTTCTCAAAATCTGAATAAGGAAAAAATTTCGATTTGCGATTAACCCCTTGCCTTAGAAAGTGTCGGACTCGTGAAGATTTTAAATAGAATTTAACAAACATAAATATTACTTACTCCTTTTGAATTCAAATTAAATATTGTTCTTCTATTATCAATTATTATACTATACAACAAACATAGATATAGAATATGCTCAGAATTTTTCTCTTTTTTCAATAAATTACTAATAGCAAAGCAGTTGTATCGATCACAGTTGTGAAATAAATCGTAGGGCAAAGGGTTAAAAGGTGCCATATTGTACAGACGAAGCAAAGATATTAAGAATTTTTGTTCATGATACGTTCCGTTATATTTTACAAGTTTACATGTGTTGTTAATCCGTTAATTGGAGAATTATTTTTAAAAAAACATACAAAAATCTTTAAAGAAGTACAACAATTTTTTTTAAATTTCCATGACTAAAAAATTCGCCATACCTATTGGAATTGTCTTCCTGGTATGACGAAGTATTTCGCTATGCTCGGTTAACAAGTTAAATGCATAAAGATCCTTAATAAATGACAGTACGTAAGAGTCATCGCGCATACCTGTAAGTAATTGAGGGTAGGGCAAAGTTGCTGGCCGAACGGCCAATATTGCAACACGAAAATGCTGATAAAACTAGGCGGTACACAGAAGAGAGCCATTAAGATGTCTCCGACGGCGAGATTCACGATGAACAAGTTCGTCACCGTTTTCATCCGTGGGCTACTGTGCACCACGTAGCATACCAGACTGTTTCCTGTCAGAGCAACAAGGAAAACGATGCTGTAGAAAAAATAAATGATGCACTTGAACCAGCTCGTCGAGAATATACTGAATGATCCCACGAAATAGTTGCAACTGATTTCAAAGTGGAAGGGCGTCGAGTTTGATGCATCGTAGACTTCCACATACCGGCTGTGATTGTCTCCTCCGTAGCTCATGTTCGATCCGAAAAGTATGTCGACCTAACAGCAGAACAGACAGAATATTAAAATACAATAGACAATATGAAATATAGTGGAATTTATTTTCAATAATTTACTTTGCAAAGTGCAAATTTGTATTTGCCTTTTAAAAATCATATGATATGATCTTGCATGTCAGTTGAATTATTGCGAGCATAAACGTTCTTTACACTTGAATTTCTATTAAACAATTCTGAATTTTTAAATAATCTATCTATTTCTAAGGCTATTTCTTAAACGCAGAACTTATTTTCAGTCCTAAAGGTTTGATGAAATTCCAAGTAAACTGAGAATGTAATTCAAGCTACTCATTGCAGGTCTCGGAAATCTGTAATCCTATAGACGCATAAAATTTTCAGGTTACTTATTATTATAGTTTCTGTACTGTAACAAAACTAATTAACGCGCAGATCCACGGCAGTTTAACAAGGTTTCATGTAATTGAGATCATCCGGTGGCGAGAAGTTCGCAACGAGCTCTACCGGACAATATCCTGCTGTTATAATGAAGTAACGAACAATGCGATAATGGAGGACAAAAATCTGTTAAAAGGTTGATTAATTTCTCGCGGACATTTGTGGAAAGATGCAATGGCCTAACGAAGATAAATTTTCGTGGGCAAGACAGTTTGCGAAAATGCTCAGCGATTCAGGTGCGTTCGGTAACCGTCGGAAGGAATACAAAGGAAATCTGAGGAAATCTGAGCAAACAGAAAATGAGCAACGCAATTTCCTGCAAAATACAATTAGATAAGATGTAGCTATTTGTTACCTGGCAGATTAAAGAAGCAACGTGATTTATGGCATGACAGATAACGATACAATTCTAGGCACTCAAATTGTAAATGAAGGATATTAAGTTAATGAGCATTGATTAAGCTTGCCTTCCTCCTAATTATTGTTACTCATTGTTATTCATTGTCGATTTGAATACATATCTTAATACATTTTCGCCTGAAAAGAATGTCATTAACTGCTTGTCTTGTGATTTCTTTCAAACTGTGCTCGTTAATTATTAATTATATTAATAATTGAACATTATTAATCATGAATAATTAATAATAGATAAATATATTAATTGTTAATAATTTATTAGAAATAAAAGAAAATTTCATGTCCACATTTAGTGGAAACATAAGGAATTGGTAAGAGAAAGATGATACTTAATGTTAAGTTGAAGGAATAGAATAACATTTATGTTTGTTTATTTTGGATTGCAATCTTTATCGCGACTCTGACGCAATATTATAAGGAAAGGTGTTAATATTTCGAATGTTGCGTTTATAAAAAAATGTTTTTTAGACGCGTCTTCGAAGCGTGTTATGTATTTCAAGAACAGCGAAAGTGTAACAAGGAGATACTGAATTGTATCTATAAAAATAACCATTTAATTACAGGATATAACTAAATATTTGATCAGAACAGTGAATACACATGGTAAGTAAAATGTAATCGAATTTTCCTATAGCATTCCACGTGTTAAGATTTGCTTATTAGAGCTTTGTTCTTGTTTTCAATAGGAACGTTCGATTTCAAACTTCTAATAGCATTAACATCATGATAACATTTGCATAAATCGATCATAATAGCGTGTGAGAGGACGCGGAGTACAGTAGTATCTTGATTATTCGGGTTGCAATTATCTGGGTCTCGGTTATGCGGAGCCTCGACTGTCTTAAGTCGCCGATTGTATCTTGGATGGGTTATCTGTACATACACTCTACCCCAAAACAAATAATGCGAGCAGTAGATACAAAAATAAGTTGAAAATATACAAGTTTTTCACGTAACACTGCATTTACAAGGTAGTGACGTTTAAAAAGTTAGGAGCGCGTGTTATTGTATAAAAACCGGTTGACAAGTGTGTCCGTAACTTATCGTTCCTGTTTCCTATAAACACGTGTATTTAAATATCCAACAATATGTATTACGTAGATAATGGAAATTTTTGTTCTTGAGAACAGAGACCTTTACAAGGAATTTTCGAGTGAATTTTATATCATACGATCGCAAGTAATTTTTCAGTAAACACTATCGTGGAACGATTAAATCATTTGCAAATAAAATTATTTGGCAATGCATGAATATCTATTTCTTGATTATTGTGTTATATCGCATAATACTGTGTAATATTATTTTGTGCAATATGAAGTGCACGATTTATCAAGAAACTCGTCTTCCAAGAAAATGTTGGCGAACATTTTATGCCAATATTCTCGAAATGCGGAGATGGTTTTGTAACACCCCAAGTTATACTGCGAGAGATGACAAAGTTTGAGAGGGATCAGGTTTCAGCAGTGCCTGAAGGCGATCGTCTTCGACGAGAATAAGTGGAATTCCACGGGGCTTATTCTTTAAAACCACCTTTCTAGGATGGATTTCTTCGAAATATCTGCATTTCTATGCGTACATATATTCTGTATACACCCTTATTATCGATTCCATTGTCAAATATACGGTATAATTTTCCAAATGGTACGTTGAACAGTGATTCACATAGAAATAACAATTTTGCAAGGATCGAACGGAAATAATGGTATTTTACCAAAAATTTAATGACATAGGATTAAGTATAGAAAAATGAACAAGACTTTTTATTTGATCATTGTACCGCGCGTAAGTTTGAAATATTGAAGGCAGTAAATTGAGATAAAAGTATAAAATGGATTTCAAGGAAAGTATATTGTTCAGAAGTGCCTCTGTATTGCGAAATAAGCCGGGATTTCTACGAGTTGCTGAAAACAAAAGAACGATAAGTAGTTTGTGGAAGAAAAATGTAACTAAGTAGCAGTGTTTTATTAGAGTTCAAACACGAAATTACTCGAATAACCCTATTTTCCTTTATGAAAGAAATATTCTTTTATTTCTCTAATATTTTATAAGATTCAAGTAATTACTTTAGTAATTAGTTTACGAACAATTAAAAATTCGATATTTTATATCACTCTATTTAAACATTGCACTGTAAAGATGAATTTCTATTAAGGCTGTGATTATCCACTAAATTTCACATTATGCTTGTCTGTTCCCCAAGTATACAGATAACCAAGATTATTAATTTAATTTCCTTCTTTCAATTGATCTGCTCATTGTGTTATTCATTAGTCTTTGTATTGCTTTCACTTCACCAAATAGGAATCCTGTTCTTCACGATATCGAGGATAATTTGGTTTGCAAAACACGGCAGCGGTGTTGGCAGCGGTGTTTGCAGCGTTCGTTCGAAGAATGCAAGAAAACAGCTAATTTCGCGTTTTGCGTAAGTTTTATACACTTTTATGTAAAACAGTGTTTTAAATTTATTATAAAAACAATACCGTTTATTTCTTCCTTCTCTTTTCTTCTCTTATGTTCAAAATAGTTAGTTTCAGTAGATTACAAAAACTTTAATTTCCTTTAGAGAAAGCGTACATCATTAATCCATTTGTGTTATATTGTTACTCGAATTATGGAGAATTCAATTTGTTTGCATCCATTTGTAATATTGTATATTTCTCTTCCTATTTCCAATCCAAAACAGGTGACAGTATTCTGACACAGACAGACAAATTTGAGAGTAACTTTTAAATCGACCTTGTCTACATCCATCAGTGTCATAAACTGAGAACCTGATGGATGTGTACAAAGTGAAATAAAAGTGAAATTCAACTATAGATTTTCTTTTCAAAATTGGAAACCATATATTCCAACATTTTATACCACAAATCTATTATATAATCACCGAACAACGATAATGAAGTAAAATTGGAATATCGATAACCCAACTCTATCATTTTTAACAATATTTATTTTTTGAAATATTTCCTGCACCATAATTCTGGATTCATTCACATTTTAAATACATTTGAAAAAGACATAAGTACACCTTTAGAACGTCCAATACAAAAGTTTGTCCACTGAGATTCATTAGGGTCATATTGAATAGGTGTATCCAAGGACCTAATATTCCTTCAGACTAAGGAATCCATACTTTCCCTTCCATGGTACCTAGATATCATAGTTCAGATTTGAATTTGATCAGAAGTTGTACGCTCTTGGTTAGTATGGTCTCTAAGCTCTGGGATCCACTAGGTTTTGACAGGCTTCTAAAGGTTCCCGACTTTCTCGGTAATAGCATCTGAATACAATAGTCTAGACCTAAACTTGACCAAAAGTTGTCTAATTTTTGCATTAGCTGGCCAGCTAGAGGTCTTGATTCGATCAGATCTTGATCCAAACATTCCACTAGTATTAGACCGATGTTGACCAAGGCTCTAACGTCTCTCCAATCTAAAAGGTCCTTACTTATTTCTATACAATCTGAATACTATGGTTAAGATCCGGCTTGAATCACAAGCGACTGCTTCTTACCACTAGTTGAATAGAGTTTTCTCCTGATGATACCTTGACCCTGAGATGACATCAGTGCTGGGACTTTCGTTATCCCAGACCCTAATCTCCCTTCAGACGGAAGACCCTAGTTTTCATTTTATGACAATTTTATTGCATCTCTTTATGGACCATAAAAATTTGTGTATACGTAATAAAGCAGTTGTATGTACAAGAAATTTCCATGACAGAAGCATTACAGTAAACGTAAATTGAAACGGGTCACGAACAACAGGCTCGATAAAATTGCAGTTACGAGAGACTGTATTCGCAACAGATTTGAAAAATTACAGGAAAAATATGTAAATAAATGTCGAGAGAGTAGCTGAAGAGAGACTGGCTAAGATTGATAAAGATACACTTCTCAAAAGACAAAACACTTTTCGATTACCAAATACAAAATAATCGCTACGAGTTCTATATGTTCCATCGTACTATTGACAATACAATTGACGGGTTTTAATTAAAACTGGTTCTTATTTCAATCACAATGAATTGTGTGTATTTTCTTTGGCATGAATAGAGTGCTACAATAGATGAAAGTACGTTATATGATGCTTCCCTTTGTTCAGAACATGAGACGTTATTGAACTCTTGAAATATATTAAGCGGCGAAAAGAATTAACGATCGCGTATCGTGCGTGACCCTTTTTGTATACAACTTCCGAGCTGAATCCTATTGAAATCGGAGCAGATGAAAACAAAATCTGTGTGCATCGTTGACACACAAATGGATAGTACTTTTCCATGTTCTCTCGTTCTCGTCACGTTGTTGTACTTTCGTATTCCAGAAGATATCATCTATAGAGGACTAAACGTTTCTACGCAGAGAGCACTTCGCAAATCATATCTGCTCGTCACGCATGTTTATGTATTTTCTAACCGTCCATCGAGTGACGAGGGAAAAATAACATTCAATCGTAATTCCTTCAATCCCGATGTCAGTTCGTGAATGTTACCTCCGGCGGATTTATGTAAACTTGTCAATCAAGTGAATTTTGAATTTTAATCCAATTTTCATCGAAACTGACGCAGTCTGATATCGTTTTATAGCGAGGGTAGCGTTTATGAATGATGCACAGTCATAATAATATTACTGAATAAAATATAATAATTAAATTTTGGTTACATAAAAGTTTAATTTGTTAAATTAAAAAGTATTTTAAGCTTAAAAAAACATAGTAGAATATAAGTACTAATGATTCAATTTCTTCTGCAGTTAAGTAAAATGTACGTAATATTTCTTTCATATTATAGACACTATGTTGAATAATATTGCGATATTCTACTATATGTCTCGATATTAACGATGCACGTATCTATAATTGTCGAGGATGGCGGTTTTCGTTTGAAGTTCATTAATTTCCTAGTAAAGTGCAAGTCTAAGACGGATTTATTATAGCCTGTCACGAATACTGTAAGTTCGAGCGTACATACTGGCGGATTACAATTTCAGTATTGGTTGCCAGCAACGCTGAGGTAGAGTTTAATTACGCTTCGAATCAAACTTACTCTGTACACTACGGAAATCTGAAATACAATCTGTCCATATTCATGTTACCGTAGGAACAATTTTCCCTGTTTTTTATTATATCTGCTTGATACTATGCAGTTCGAATCAAGCAAAACAGTTGACAAAACGATTTGAGTCGTCGTTTCTAACATCGTTTCTATTGTGGGCAATCGTAACATGTTTATTCACCTTTATAAAAACAGTAGTATACTGTTTACATACCTGGTATTCCACATTGACATTATTGTATTTACTTAAAAGAAATTGAAGAATTAAAAATGCAATTTATTATTATTTACGATAGCGTTGAAAACTATTCAATGATGGTCGCTTTTAAAGATTCGTTTAGTTAGTTAAACATTTTTTACATGAATAAATGAATATCTGATCTTTAAATTGTACTAGAATATAAGAATAATAAGTGTACTGACACAATAATTTTTTCCTATTATTCGTCCTATTGTTGGAATAAATTATCACATGCCTTCCTGGACATTTTCATTTAATGTCTCCTTCGCCGAATGTGCTTTCCCAGAGGGTCAGAATGACCCATTCTCTGGCACGGTATCCTATCTAATAAAAAAAAATAGATGACGATAGAAAAATCGATAAGAATGCACATTTATTTCTCGATAAAGCTCCTTTCGAAATTATTTCTTATTCCTGACAATTGAAATATTCTGCGCTATTAAAATACGTAGCAATTTGTGTGTACATATAAGAAAAAATGTACTGGAAGAAACGGAATAAAAGAAATCTAAACGGTGATTTCACTTTTAAAGTACATGATAATGATTTTATATAATCGAATCTTCCTCCAAATAATGAAGAGTTTGTGATGGACATTTTCCAATCAAGGAAGATTTACTTTAAATTATAATCATTTGCATAATAATATTCTTATTTGAGGGCGATTCGTTCATTTACTAACTCCTTTATCAAATTCTAATTCTAACTTTTGCATTAATAAATTTATAATATGGATAAATACCTACTAGTGCAGTTACAAAATTGTTGGTATTTAAAAAAAACTCATTGATTTCATTCGATATAATAGTAATTAATTATTTTTCTCAGAAAAATTCATTATTAAACGGAAGGTAACACTTTCATAAAAGAAAAAAATGCAATTTTGCACGAGTAATTGAAAAATGTCCATTTCTCGAGGCACGTCAGTCGCGTGATTGTAAAAATTTGCACGAGGCCGATGTCAGAAACGGAAATTAATGCAGAAAGTGATTTAATGCGCGTGACTGTGCATATATAGTACACTTTCCCTTTTATTTTCCGATATCTCCTCGCGCCGCGTCGTTTCGAGTTCCGTCGGAAATTGTCGCTTACAGCGATTCGTGATACTACACGTGCCATCCGGACACGGTCAAACTTAGTAGCTAAATTCGATAACCTGCCGTAACTGGTACGTACCAATTTTAGATTATTTGAGAGAAGCCATTCAACCGAGTATTATTAACCGTTTGAGTGCTGAGCATATTGTCTTAATACATTGTATGCAGGAGACGTACTAGTACCCTTTTCGAGCACCATCGAATAGTAGTAAATAAACGTTATTTATTTCATTAATATTTTATGTTTAAAGTAAACGAAGATCCTGAAAATATATTAAATAATAAATAAACGTATATAATAAATAAATATAATGTGTTGACGCTCAAGGGACGGTACATGTAGATTTACGTTTATTAATACTACCTAAAATGTTTTGTAAAATACTGTATTAATAAGAAACATTAAACATGAAAATAATTAACGCTTCAAAATTGTATTAATAATGATCCTAATTTAATCAAAACAGCAATACTTTGAAAACATGCAACTACAATTTTGTTTCATTTTTTCGAAAATACCCTTAAATTCTAGAAAGATAGACAAGAAATTATCAATCCGTTAAGTGTTAATATATAATATTGTTAACATAATATATATGTGCAGTTGTACTTCTCAGTTTTGATCATCATGGCCATTCTAGCCGACGGAATCCAACTTTTCCACTTTGGAAACTTGGATTCTATAGTCCAGACTCATTTTCGACCAAAGGTATCCCGACCTTCCCATGATATCATATTATAATATTATATATATTAAAACTAGGAAATACAATTTGTATTAAGAAAAATGTTATGATAGTTTTAAGAAAATGAAATATCCTCATATTCTACAGACACTTCGTGATCAAGCGTTTAATGTATAATGACATTGGCGTCGCAATATCGACTCTGCATTTTTAGCGTACAATATGAAACTCGAGGTATCAACTATCACCACTCAGAAGGTTGAACAATTTAATAAAATTAAACAATTCCCGACCAATTTCGGAACTTTATCATTCTTAAAAAAATTACATCTTCCTATGCTCTCCGAGAATTTTCACATGTCTTTATTTCGTCACGTTCAGTCTCTATTCAGATTATAATGCATGGTTGCTGTACATTCTTTAACATAATTACATTGCTGTGCTTTAACACGGCGCATCGTGAAGTCTAATAAAAGCATAACTCATAATTTACAATTTTCACATTTACCTGTGTACAGAAGTACTAGAGATAGTTAATAACATTGAGATTTTTTATTCGAGTCCGACAGAGTGTGAAGAAATTTCAAATTAGGGATAAGGATAAGAGAGAGAGAGAGAGAGAGGGCGGGAGAGGGAGAGGGAGAGGGTGAGGGAGAGGGAGAGAGAGAGTTTCCTTCAAACTGTCCTCGCCATTTTAATCTAGCAGTGACGAAATTGGACCATTTCTGTAACGTTTCATCGTGGTACAAACAGCGAGTTTTAAAAAGTAGATGCGTATGCATATTTAACTAGACACTCGGTTGATTTTATTCTCTTTGTCGTCGGTTCGCTCCGCGCACGGTGCCTTGCATCCGATGCAATGCACATTCTACCGCGTAATTTCAACATTCTCTCTGTGCCATAATCTTCTTCTAAGGCAAATAATCCGCCTCTTTATTTTTACTGTTGTTTGTTTAGTGGTGTCCCCGTGAAAACGCGTGGAACAAGGACTGGTAGCAGAATAGTACGTTGAATATGCTAATGTTCTATAGATGAAATAGACATGAGGCTGATATAATTTAGCAACTGTTGGGGTTCTCTAATTGGATTACAATATTTTTTCTTGTATGAATTTTGCCTTGAATTAGTTTTCATTTAATTTTTCAGTAATATGTAGCATTCTGTTTCTAATCAGGGTATTTTGTTCACATAGGAATTAAGGTTATAATGTTATGAAACCAGGAGTCTCTTAATTGTTTTGACATTTTGCTAAAATTTTTTTATAGTAATGCTGGAATTTCATTGCTATTTAAGGATTGTGTATAAATTCAATATAAGGACTTTTTAAACAATAAATGAAACATAAATATTAGGTTTTAATCAAAGGAAACTATAGATTTCGTATTAAATTTCAATGTCGTTCCATTTCTTTTTTCATATGAAGCATTACAATTCACTTGTATTCGGCAAAATTGTTTTTCCAATCGTTTGTAGCAGTCCAAAAATCTTTCAAAGAGTAGATAGCTTCGTCAAAAGATTTTAATGGTCTCGCTACTAGTAAGCGAAGTCGTATTGTTGCTTGAAATAAAATTTATCTTATGAAAAAGTTTAGTTCTTTAATTCAATATTTTGATCGTAAAAATGCAATGCTTCAAATCTTTCTGAAATTCTGATTCATGTTAAAAAATCTTATTGTTACTTTTACAATTACTTTCTTTCCGTACCTATTGATAAAATTATATCCTATGTACCTTTTTCATAGCATAAGTTACTAATCTCATACACAAATTTATATCTTCAACACTAAAATAAAACGTGCATTATCGAAAATTTGTTTAATTCTACAATTATTATGTACAGCAATGTATGAAATCAGTACCAATGTTAAATATTTCCTTATGCTACGCTTATCATTTTTAAAGTACGATTAACCGTTTGAATGCTAAAACATTTGCTTCGATATATGGTAAAAATCCGGAACGAGATGCGTAGCTCTATTGTTTGGAAAAATAATAAAAACGATATTAATTTACTCTAATTAGGCATGTACCGCATAAAAAATAGTTTTTAGCAAGAAAAATATCTTTATTATCACTTATCACAAAAGTGTTTTCCTGCATAAATGAAAAGAATACATTAAAATATTCAATTGGTTTCGTATCAGAAGCAGGGACATGTTTTGGACCGTATCTCAGAAAAACTACTCGATTCATGCGAAAATGTTTTTGCAGGCAAAATATGATGATGTCATTTCCGCTATTACTTTCAGAGTTATTACTAAACACTTCATCCTCACTTCTCATATCATAGTCACTTTCAGATAAATTAAGATTTGACATTGTGCCTTTGGTAATTTAAAACAGTCACCTCAAAAAAAGAAAAGTCATTTTTAATTTCTATATTACTAAAAACTTTATATATATATATATATTACTAAAAGCTAAAAACGATAGAAAATAAAATTCATAGTGTCACCAACTTCATTCGCTATCGTTACATCTCACTTCGTCGCATTCAGTGTCTTTTCCAATTTCCTTGCCTCCCTGATTTTTTAGCTTTTAGGACAAGCGAAGTCTTTTCTCCGTCAAACTACACCAACGCAACCGCTCTCAATGAATGCAAAAATAATACTAGCAAGGAGCGTCGTGATCGCGCTTCTCCGCACGCAAACCGTTAATCAGGTAACAGATAACTGACATGATAATGGAGTTTATTTGAGCAACAAGCCAGTGCATGTGATAGAGACCGAGTCTGTTTACAAATTTTACTACACAGCTGCGTGATGCACGTTAAACCAGTGCGTAAACCCCGGCGATGTGACGCGCATTAACGCGTAACCATAACACACGAGATATCGTGCGATACATACTGAATTACACTACCATGGGATATGCGATGAACGATCGATATGCGCTAATGCTACGAAACTGTAGCATCATTCTTAATGCGATGTAAGCACCGATTTTGCACTTTCGTGGTAAGCAAACGATATGTATGTCGTCGAAAGAGATTTCACCTGGTTATTTCCGTAACGTGTTCTACGTGTCTTTTGCAGGCGACTGCATAACCTCTTGTAATTATAATAATATCACAAACGAAGAAAAAGTGTTTCCATACGCGAGAATAAATTGAATAAAATTGATTTAGCTTAATTTAATAATACAAAACATAATTTGCAGTAACGAAAATGATGAAAAGAGTAATTTCTCAATTAAAATCTACAATTGAAATTGCACAATCAAAATTCGCGGTCAAAAATTCGTATTGTACGGTTCAACGATAAAGTGAAATGTTTACATTTTCCATTTCACATATGTTTATAAAATATTTTTATGCAACACAAGTGCAGGAGATAATAATTACAAATAAAATGTCATTACTTTTGATATTTTTCGAATAAAATATTTATAAAATAAAATCGACCGTTCGCCATTTATTATTTGTTCTTCATTACTTACAAACTTAACATAATACTTTAATCGATACTGCACAGAACTCAAGGACGTCATTAACTTCATCAAACACTAGACTTCAGACTCGACCCACATGAGGGTAGGTCATTTATTGGAGAAACTTCCATCGGATTGTACCCATACTTGTCTACTATAGAATCTAAGGAGTATAAATGTCGGACGAACTTTGTCTCCGGCCAGTAATAATAGCTACTTTTATGTTCCCGAAGGAACAGTCTCCTAGTTCATCATTTAGGGAAAATTTTACTAAAGCGACACCCTAGATATTTTCAAGGAAAATTGAATAAAGAAAACAGATGAACTTTGTAAAAACGTACAAAGAATTTTATGTCTCAAAAATATAAAATAATTTTACATCTGAAAAATGTAAAATAATTCTACACTTTATAAAAAAACAAAAATATCATTCTCTTTTCTGAAATGCCTAGCGTGCAGAGAAAAATATTAATCGCGTGCACCAGATTTCTCAAACATCTTCTAAATATATTTTTCATGCGTTTTACACGTTCCGCGCTGTACTTATTGTTACTGCGAGGGTTAAAGTCACGGTTTCTTCGAAACCACATACCAAGCCATAGAATTCACGATAAAATTCCGCAAACTAGCGTTATATACGATTTAGAAAGAGGCACACCCGACAACGAGAGAAAAGAAGTTTAAACTGAGTTTCTATTTCGTGCAGCATGTAATGTATTGTGAAGTTGTTCGGGAAGCATTAAATGGTCGGAGGTTGAGCCCGGCAATAACGATAACTCGACGTATCGCCAGGAGAGATTCCAGATATTAAGCGAGACAAGACAGCGCTACAGCTGACGAACAAAAGTTGCAGATAAGAAGATCAACTGAGCAAACGTGATAAGAAATCACATCCGCTGGTGAAATTTCTTACTTCAGCGATAGACGTAACTTACGGTTAAGTAACCAACCATCTGAACTCACTGGTCACCCAACTAATGAACACCTCAGACCACTTCCGCAGACTAAAAAGATTTTATCCCTTTGAATTGCACAGTAGATTCAGTTAACACTATAACTGCTGAGCGTTTAACATGATTAACCCTTTGCACTCGAGAAATGATTTTCAGTCACTATTTGATATGACACAGTAAAATTATAAAGTTTAATATTGAAATCAAGAATTTTGTTTTTTCATTTATGTGTAAACTACCGTTAAATTAATTCTGGCGAAAAACTTTCGAATGCAAAGGGTTAATACGTAATTCTTATAAAAATATTACCAATAAATCTTTTTCGATTTCTTCATATATTGATTATAGTATTCAAGTGAAACTATTTGTATTTAAAATCATTTTGAACTTATCATTAACCCACGCAAAGTTAAAATACTTATAATTTTTTAGAAGAATTAATTGTATTATACATTAAAAAAAGGTAAAGGTGGTGGGACTTTTACCTTATGAAATTCGTTTGTATCGTTCATCGTCTAAAATTATTTTGTTGAGGCCAGGTTCAGATTCATTTTT